ACAACAATAGAATGACACCACAACAATGTTTTAAATGTATGTCCTCAAAATAAACATGTAATCAGCAGTACAAGCTTTCTTTTGGAGTTTCTGATATAATACTAAATTTGTCTCTAAAATGGTTATCTAATCTGTTATTACGTTATCTTAAACAGGTTTTAAGTAGTAGCGATACCAAGCAAAAGTCAAAATTAAGAGCATGACTTTGGCCTTATTTTTTAGTGGACATATGCCTCAAATAAATAAACCTAGGTCTTCATAACTTCCGGTTACGAGTTCTAACCTTTCACTTATTTCAATTTCATGCAGGGAAATAACTCCCATATTGATTATCTTGATCGCTTTGGTCAAAATTATTCTCAATATCTTGAGGACATAGCGAGTAATTTGAAAGAAAAAACAAATTTTCGGTTTCTTTAACTGTTGCGAAAACAAGTAAAACAGGGTTCGGTGAGATCACTCTTACAAAAACAGTATTCGTCTAAATATGATACTTTTCTGATTGGGTTACATGAATATATCCTCCAGAACTAGAAATTAAAGGAACACCAGACACGGCTTTCTCCACCTCATTTTTAGACTTATACCTCGAATTTGACATAAGCGGTCATCTCAGTACCAGAATCTATGACAAACGAGACGATTTTAATTTTGAAATTATCAATTTCCCCCACCTTAGTAGCAATATACCAACTTCACCTGTATATGGGATATACATTTCCAAACTCATTCAGTATTCAAGAGCTTCCAGCTTCTACTCAGACTTTATAAAACGTCACCAGTGTCTGAGCAGAAGGTTGATGAACCAGGGTTATGTTAAAGGACGTCTCGTCTTTTTTCTAAAAGAGTTCATCGGAAGATACCAAGACCTTGTTGATAAATATTCCGTATCAACTTCACAAATAATACATGATGGTCTTGAAGTATAGATTCTAGGTACTGACGTTGTTTATCATCTTAATTACGTGTTATAGTGTTCTTTTATTTTTCTTTGTAAATTATTAACCTTTACTCTTTAGTCCATTTTTGGTAATATCCTATTGGTGTGGCTCGGTACTTATGCATCCCGCTATTGTGTTTTTGTGCTGTGGTAATTTTTGGTATTCTTGTCTTTCATTTCTGATTATATGCTTTGTCTATATGCCATTTTGTTTTTCTTTGTTGATATATTTGTTGGTTTTTATTGTGATTAAGATTATAACACAATGTTGACTGCTGTACCCCTATTTTTGACCTTTTTACCTATTAATGTCTGTTTGTTTTGTTCACACATTGTTGTCAATATAATGGAATTTTATGCGACTGTCATACAAGTGAGAGGTTTAGCTAGCTATAAAACCAGTTTTAATCCACAATTTTTTACATAAGGAAATGCCTGTACCAAGTCAGGAATATGACAGTTGTTTTCAATTCGTTTGATGTGTTTGAGCTTTTGATTTTGCCATTTGATAAGGGACTTTCCGATTTGAATTTTCCTTGGAGTTTGGTATTTTTGTTTTTTTACCATTTTTTTTCAAGACCGCAAAAACTGTTTGATATTATATGCCAAATATAGAATAGACATCTTGCAAAACCACAATACAGCGTTGGAAAAATAGTGGCGAAAGAAGAAAAAACATATCATTAGAAATCAAAGGAAAAATGGAAATACTTTTATTGAAATAATGATGATAATAATAATTGAATACATTTTTTCTGAAGTTTGATTAATTACAGTTCTTTTCGAAATGATATTCTTAAACGTGCAGTGTTGCATGCACATTGGGTTTTTTTCGGTTGAAAAAAGAAAAACAGAAACATTATTTTAACTTTATTTGAAAACTCATCAGTTTCTACAAATTAATTTCACTGAGCATGTTCCTTTAATATCTTATCAGTGTTACATCTAGGCATGTTAGGAATGTCATGCTTGCATTCCACGCTTACAGTATTGCATATCTTTCTTCAGTGAACTGCGAAATCTGAGTCAAAACCCTTTCTTGCATATATTTTCGAAAAGTTCCTATCATTATGAACATGTGTACTAAATTTAAATTCATGCGACCAATACTTCATAGGTAATTTCCTTAAACCAAATCTTTATCTTGATACGGAACTGACGAACTGACTGACAAAATACCGCTTCTAACGTAGGCAGGAAATAAAGAAAAATAACACTTTCTATAATTTCTACTAACAGTTACTACTGAGAGCTAATAACCTTTCTGTAAGCATCGTTTATTTTTCTTCATTTATTTTGTGTTGTAGCTTGAGACGCTATCTACAATGTATGTCTAGATAAAGGAGTTAACATCTACGATTTTAGGATAAAAGTAACTGATAGTCACAACAATCTTAGACGATTATACTCGTTGACTGTTACCGTCATTGGTTTGTTTGCTTTCGATTTTATTATTTGTTATATAAAAATTAGGAAAAATCTATCTAAAGGTGGCACGGTAGTATTTCCTGGCCCATAAGGGATAATGATAGCCTTTTTAGAATTTTCACCATTTTCTAACACTGCTAAAAATTCTACAGTCACTGTTAACTGAAGTACTTTCATTTTACTATTCAGAAATGAATTTCAATATGTATCATGACCGTTTACTTTTTTTGCTATCTTTAAGAACCTAAGGCCACTAGTGCTTTTAGGTCTTTTATCGTGCAGTGAATACAAAATTTAAAAAAATTCTCAAAAATTCATTTTCATCTGTATATAAAATTATTTCATATTTTTCTACACCTGATTCATCCCTCAGTTTGGGAAAGTATGTTCAGTTGATACTGTATTTTTTGTCCAATCATAATGTTCAGATACATTGACTTAAGTAGGGTACACAAAAGAGCAACCTAAATTCTGGTGTGCAAATACTACCGTGCTACCTTAACCAAGACATTTCAAACTTGAAATCAGTCATGACACCTATGATGCATAGCCTTCTTACTATGTAACATATTACAATAAAGAATACTAGTCTGCACTTATTTCTTACCAAAAAAAAATGAAAGATTACACCCCTACCCCAGCTGGCAGATTTTTACTTTTTTATCATCTTACCATTTTTACTTAAGGAGTGAACAAAATCCAAATATATGATGTTTCAAATCAACACAGAAGTAAAACATGGTGATTCAGGAGGAATTATTGGATTGCCAACTCTATTTATAGTTAATCTGACTGAAAGAAACAGTTTAAGCACCAAATCATGAAAAATGATATTAAAGTCCATTCCACATTTTACAGCATGCCTTACATTACTTTAAGCATTCTCAGATTATGAAGGCAACACAAGAAGATTCTTTAGATGGCAGTTAACTATTATTCTAAAATCTTTTTGACAATATATGTACTAGAATATATCTCTAAGTTGACTGTTTGTCTATTTCTCATATATGCATTAAGTTAAATTATGTCCCCTTACATAATCATTTTACCTTTATTGTGCTTTTCATTGTCAGAAATTCAAAACAATTAATGACATTTGCATGGAAAATGAATAAACTATTTAATCTTGCTGATAAACAGTCATAATTACATTCTTTGTCAAAAAAAATGTCTTGTCAGTGTAAAGAAACCCCTATTGCTATCTCTATTTCAGCCAAATATGAGGGCTAAATGAATAAGTAAGGACCCCTTAACCACTTGCTGGTTCCAAAAAAGCTCATACTGGTGTCATGTTACCACAGAACTACAAATTAAACCTAAACAAAACTAGTACAGCTGTACTTGTGTGGAAAAAAATAAGAAATTATGCAATTTATTTATTTCGGTGAAAATAATAGGATGTACAGACAAATAAAATATGTCGCGTCTCAAATTCCATTGGTTGCACATGTGTCAGACACTGCGAAAAGTTAAAGCAAACATTTATAATTAAAAATGTATTGCAAGTTACATAAAAATAATGAAGTTCTACTTTCTAGGTAAATTTTTACTTTATTACCCACAGATGAGGCAAAATTTGCTGAATCAGCAATTTTCACTCCCAGGGGTGGAATTTAAGGGCTGTTTTTATCATAGTTGTCCTTAATCAACTTTTTATTGATAAACTTACAAATTGCATAGGAAAAAAAAAATACTTCATTGATTTAGTGTAAACATGTATATCCCCCTTAAGGTGGCACGGTAGTATTTCCTGGCCCATAAGGGATAATGATAGCCTTTTTAGAATTTTCACCATTTTTTAACACTGCTAAAAATTCTACAGTCACTGTTAACTGAAGTACTTTCATTTTACTATTCAGAAATGAATTTCAATATGTATCATGACCGTTTACTTTTTTTGCTATCTTTAAGAACCTAAGGCCACTAGTGCTTTTAGGTCTTTTATCGTACAGTGAATACAAAATTTAAAAAAATTCTCAAAAATTCATTTTCATCTGTATGTAAAATTATTTCATATTTTTCTACACCTGATTCATCCCTCAGTTTGGGAAAGTATGTTCAGTTGATACTGTATTTTTTGTCCAATCATAATGTTCAGATACATTGACTTAAGTAGGGTACACAAAAGAGCAACCTAAATTCTGGTGTGCAAATACTACCGTGCTACCTTAAGTAACCAGACGTTTCATCAAGCATTTAATTTAAAACTTTCAATGTGGAACAATTGATCTCATTAGAGAATATGCTTACTAAAACACATTTCATCATGATGGTGTATTCATATAAAACGTCGTTAAACTATTGCAAGTAAGTCATTGTAAGTATTGTATATATATAGGTAAAATATGCTTCCATGTGGAATATAAGACTTTTATAACCTGTTTAATTTTATTTTTTTATTAAAGTTATGAGAAAAACAAGTGATATTTTTAGTTATTAATTGAAATAGATCATAACCACAATTTCTTTTCTAAGAATTATTCCAAGCGTCATATCACATATGACATATGCGTTTCCAAAGCACAAATAATACGATGTAATAAATAATTAAAAGTAAAATAAACCTATGAAGTAACGATCTTATACATTGATTAACCAGATTGTTTTAATCGTATCAACAATTATTACATTCGTTTTATTTTTTTTCAGTAATTCATGTTTAGCTTTTGTATAGGAGTTTGAAGATGTGCCTGATGCGGGATGAAAAAAACATAGCTTTTCATGGTCTGAAATATGCGAAGTATGAAGTAAGAGTTTAATTCATAATTTATAGCATTTATTATGATCTCTTTGTTTATAATGAAATTGATGCAGAGCAAAATTTCAAGTATGCAAAGTAATAATTATCAATCTGTATGTCTTCGCATTTATTGCAATATTTTTTGTCTATAATGCATTTCTGCAGAGCTAAAGCATTGAGTTTGCAGTTGCTTAAAAAAATAACTGTGAACAATAAATTTTTTTCTTACGTAAAAGAGAGTGGGAAGATACCAAAGGGATATTCAAACTATGACAAACTGTCAACGCCATGACCAGAAAACGATCAAAAGACAAAAACCAGTTTACAAAACACAACATAAAAATGTCAATTTAGCATATTTCGCGGCATTATGTTGCTATAGATTACCTAAGCTGGATGAGGCAAAACCTTTCGGAATTTTGAGTTCATGATGCTCTTCAATCTACTTTATTTTGCCTTTTTAACTTTTTGATTCACAAAACGCTCATCTCGCGTACATAATTTTAATCCTGGAATCTATGATGAGTTTATTGCTAATTTACCGATGTGTTTCACATTAAAATGGAATATTTATTCCAGCTATTTGTATCCTCAAACGACTTTATGTAAACAGCTAAATGTTTTAAATTTCATTTTAGGTCTTCGCTCAAAATCAGGGATAAACTATTAATATTCGTCTACATTTCGTCATCTATCATTTCGGAAAGGCTGAATATAAGTGGTGGATCTTTTCAGAATGACAAATTTTTGGACATCAATCCAATGCTTGTTTTTGGTAACATTGGACCAAAGCAATGTATAAAAGACTGTATGCTTCACTACGGGTGTAATGCTGTTAACTATGATAACAAACGTCTGAACTGTGAACTGTTAGCCTTTACAAGTCCAAACTATACCTTATTAGATTGGAAGGGACACTATTTCACAGAAATAAACGAGTTGGTACAGGTAAATTAAATGAAATCAGTTATACATAATGCCTATCTTAGGGAGGGGGGGGGGGTGTTGTCGTATAAAACACCCTTTTTGCCAGGTTTTATTGTCGTATAACACCAAAAGAGGTGTTAAACGACAAGAAAAACCTTAAAATAGGCATTATCTGACTTTTATACCGTCAAAATATTTAAATTTTTGCAGTGATTTGCGTCTCATTTTACCGATAACATTAAAGTGGCATATTTTTGTCATGTGCTCATGTATAACAGCTACATTATAAATAAAAATTCACTAAACTAGATAATCTATGTCAAAACTTTACTGTAATTGCATGACGCAAGAAATAAAACAACTTTGAGCAATTAGATTATCTCGATTGAAGAAAATTGCAAGGTAAACATATTATTTGTTGCACACTTGTAATCAAAAGTAATGACACTTATTAACACTAGATCGAATGATCAACAGATTAACAATCATCAAAGGTGTTAATTGGGCCATAAACATGTCGCTTAAAGAAAACGGTTACATAAAAAATGCAACAAATGTACTCTGAATTGTAGAATTAATTCTAATGAAATAAATAAGCAAGCCCAATATGAAATTATTATGTTTTTTCGTTTGAGAATTATGAGGAGATAGGTTTTAAGTCATACAGTTTAGGTTTGTAAAAATTAAATATGCAGTAAAATCCTGTCTGAAGTTGTATGTATAGTTAATAGGTCGTTTGCTGACATTCGACGTACTTTCTAGTTTCCTAGTATATGCCCGTATCCATATAGCCAAACCTACATGGGGATCTTTCCATGTCTTGATTTGGACAACAGTTGTTATATTTCGTTGGACACTAAAATTCGTGGATAAAACCATCCACAAAACCACAAAAATTGGTACCCCACGAATAAAAGTACTTTCACAATAAGTAAAAAGTAAAATCACAAAAATACCGAACTCCGAGGAAAATTTATTATATTAACTTTATGAAAGGGGAGTTTTGTTTTTCTCTCTGATTTTATGACATGTTTACCGCGAAAAAGCATTATTTGTTCAACAATTAAAAAAGAACTTATTCAGAATAATTGTTTTCTCTTTTTTATTTGGCAATACAATTGTTCTTTAAAAATTAAGAATCCGGAAAGAATATTATATAATTTTATCTCATATATTTGTGCGTTAAAGACGTGTTCTGGTACTAGCATTTTCATCTAATAAATGGAGTAAAGGATTGTTTCTATCCAAAACCTTTTAGGAATATTAGATGGAAAATTGTATAGAAAACCCCAAATTGGCAACAAAACACGATTACTGTCAAATGATGTTGAACAAACAGTAACAAGTCATTATTTTATGCCTCGAAGTACTTTTCAATGAAACTTGGTATCGCCTGGGTTTTTTCTTCAAAATAATGACCTATCGTTCTGAAAGGTAATAACTCCACATTATATGTGTTTAATTTTGAATAAGGGAATGTAGCTCCCTCATGCCTAGTTCTGATTCATTGTCCAGGTTTGGCTTAATTTTTGTTTTTTTGTTGTTAGGGGGGGTATTTTTTGTTTTATCAGCTTTTCGTCGTTTATATTATGTTTAAGATTTTCACATGTATTGGCCTAGAACATTATTGTTTAAGATCATTAATTGTCGAAATGAGCATCTGGTGCAGTAAAATTGGAACCTTTAATGTTTTTTATCACCATTCGGTCGATATATATGCTGGTAGATTCTCAGTCATTTAGGGTATCACCATCCTTGCAGCCAGATTCATTATACAGTATCATTGTATACCTAAACGAATGCACAGTACTAAATAATACCGTATGAAAATAACAATATGAATCGTGAGGATTATGTGCAAGATAAATAATACTTTCATACTATTATATACTAGTATATTACATATTGCAAGTATTACTCTAAAGCCATGATAAACCTAGTAAGTATTTATATTTATCTACTAGTGTTTTTGACATTTTTAAACTAGGAAATGAAAATAACAATTGTTATAATAATACATTTCTTTACTCCAAAGCGCTTTTCTAGCGAAAACCATGGATGTACATTGTACAGTTACGTAAAAACGATAGAGCTATATATGATCACACGTAATGAATGTATGACATACTTTTGTGGTTAACTATAGGTCACCATAAGGCCTTCACACAATGAGTACATTGAGTAAATCCAATACCGTACAGTCATCTTTTAAAGGCCCCGAATATATTTCAGTTCATGAATTATGCCTTGCTATAGGACCATTGAAATAGAAAGTCTTACCACTGTTCCATGCCTTCAACAGTTGTTCAGCTTTCTCTTGGAAGGGTAAGGAATCAGCTTGGGGCACATTCTCCGTATATGAGAAATTGCCAGGAGTATTTGTGCAGATAATTGAAAATGAAGTGAAAAAATAAAAGCAATAGAAGTTATAGAACGGCATGTTGTGCATGCTTCTGTATGATCGGTCTAGTACAGTTAACACGATGAATGAATTAAGAAAACATTTATTTACAAAGAAGACAAACAAAATTGACAATATTACTCCGACAAGAGATGCTCTACTACAACATACGAAATGTTAGCTTACCGAGGTAGTGTTATTTGGGAATTTTTTAGTCGCAAATCTTGGTATGTCACCACAAGATTTATTCGGTTGGCAGAAACTTAATTATTCTGGTCAGGGCTTGCAGTAACTGCAATGTCATGTCAAAAGTTCATCCACTGTGTCTGTAAGAAAGGATGTCGAGGGGCATGTAAATGCTTCAAAGCAGCATTGAAATGCACATCATTATGTAAATGCTCATTAGACTGTGAGAGAGAAACTAATTGAGACTGTGCTTAATTTTGATTATCCTGCATTTGGATATTATTTTTATTATCAATAACTTGAATATATACTATAAAGTTGTTATGCCAAATACTAGTAGTTACTTTTGAGGCATCGTTTTTATTTTCGCTCCCATTTTTAAAAAAGAAATACTTGTCTTGTATCTTTGTAGGGTTTCATACATATTTTTCATTGGTAGTAAATTGAAAGATTTTCTGAAGTCATGTTAACATTAACTATAACTGTAAATTTAGACCTTGTCAGAGACGCCATATTGAATTGAATCGGCCATTTTTATTTCATAGTTTATTCCACCTTTTCAAAAGAATAATATGTTGGTTTGCATTTGTATCCAAATAAATATTTTATTAAAACATAATGTTTGTTCCATTCTATAACCATTATAACAAAAATCCGTCAAATTCTGACATTTTTGACGGCGCCATCTTGAATGGCCGCCATTTTGAAAATACTATATATGGCCCCTGGTATAATTAATCAATTGTAGGCCTGTGTTTACATCACATGATGAGTTTCACAAATTCGTTAACTCGTACCACATTGATGGTGTATATATAGATATCAATACGGTCAAACTCTGACATTTTGACGGTGCCATTTTGAATTTGGACGCCATTTTGATTAATTATGCATTCATAAAGTTGTGAAAAATAATTATTGGCATATCTGAAATGCATTTTCTTAAATTTGTGATATATACCATGTATACTGAACTCTTGCATATTGATAGACTTCATTAAGTTTATGATGTTGTATTCCCAGTACCTTATGTCGGCCATTTAATTTGGCGGCCATATTGGATTTTTTTTTCGTGGCTCCATATCTAAATTTTGTTTATACCCCTTAATCTTTCACTATGCCAAGTTTCATGCTTTTACCAAAAAGTGATCAATTATTCTTATATCCGCTGGACTAATCTGCCACCTCTTCGATAATGAAACAGTTTGTTTCCGCTGTCTGAAATGAATGAATGGACTAATGTATGTTGATCGTCCAGTGAAAACTCTATACCACATACATTCAGGAGGAGAATTTCTTTTCATTGCACAAATATGACCGCTGCGTTCTTTGTGACATATATTATCAAAACTGATGTAACATGTATAGATTTACATCTATAAGCTTTTTGCTATTTCTTTAAGAGGTCATTCCTGTTTTTGTACAACTAAAACGTTTGATTTACTGAAGGAGATGTGGCATGATTGCCAATGATCCACCAACGAGAGTAAAATTGAAGTGGTATTAAGCAATTATAGGCCGATGGACAGCCCTGACCAATGAGAAAACCCCAAATCTGTTTTGGAGCGTATATGATTGAGCATATCTGTCGAAATTCAATACAAAAATGCGCGTCGTATGAATCAAATTGGTTTTTATTTATTATTCTATATTTCGTGTTGTTCAGTCTCTAGTTTTCTGTGTTGTGCTTTGTGTACTGTTGTCTGTGTTTTAGTCTATTTCTGTTTTTGCCATGGCGTTGTCAGTTTATTTTCGACTTATGAGTTTGAATGTTCATTTGGTATCTTTCGCCTCTCTTTTTCCCATGTGTGGTTGGGACTTTTGATTTTACTTGAGGTCGGCTGTTTCAATTGACTTATTACAACGAAGTTTCTCTTTTAAATGGATATTAAACAGATTTGTAGACTAGTTACGTTGGAATATTCAGAATATTGAGCTCTACATATTGTTTATTTTCGTCAAAACTGTCAGACGACTTCTTAAATTATGAATTCTACCATGAATTATACGCAGCAAATGGGGCATTAAGTGTTGCCATTGATCGTCCGTATGTCCTTCCGTTTGTAAGTCTGTATGTCTGTACGTCTGTACGTCCAAAAATTAGTTTCCATTCTCTAACTTTAGTTGGCCTCAACCAAATGTTATGAATTTTATACACATTGCTCATAACAAAATAACACAGATCAAGTTCGATGCTTGCGTCACTTTTACCGTTCTCGAGTTATGTCCCTTTATCACGTTATATACAAGCGGGGGCATCATATGTGTCCCTTGTACACATTTTCCATTAATTTAAATGTTTGTCTATTATCTTGAAAATTATAATAGATAAAGATGATCATCAAGTCAAGATCTACAAATAAGTCAACATGGCCGACATTTTCATTCGACTCCTTATTAGAGTTATTATCCTATAATGACGATTTTTACCATTGTTTTTACGTTTTTGCCTTATATCTTAAAAACTGTTTTAGATATTTGGAAACTTTAAAAATAAAAATGATCAGCAAGACAAGATCTAAAAATAAGTGGACATGACAGAAATTGTTAGTCGACTACTTATTGAAGTTATTGCCCTTTAATGAGGATTTTTCCCATTTTTGCACATTATCTTGAAAACTGTAATAGATAGATAGAAACTTTACATAGCACAAATGATCAGCAAGACAAGATCCACAAATAAGCCATATGACTGAAATCATCAATCGACTCGTTATTGGAGTTATTGCCGTTTATGATGATTTTTGACATATTTTTTTTTGCATGTTTTGCCTATTATCTTGAAAACTATAATAGATGAAGATAACTTTAAATGGAAAAATTATTAACAGCATATGATCTACAAATATGTCAACATGACTGAAATTGTCAGTTAACTCTTAATAGAGTTATTCTCCTTTAATGATGATTTTTACTAAAAAGTGGTCATTGTTGAAGATGCAGATGAGCAACAAAGGCTCTTTAAAGCCTCTAGTTATAGTTTGGTATCTCAATATCTGCAATGAATATATAAATAAATAAAATTATGAACTAAATAATAATAATAATAATTTTAATAATAATAATAACAATAATAATAATAATAATATATATAATAATAATAATAATAATACTATTGATAATAATAATAAAAATATTGATATATGCAAAAAAGAAGATGGTGTATTAGATTAATTATTGCGTGTTTAGTTTTAAGTTAAGGAATACAATACTAACAATTAATGTTGACCAATTACTTGATCCGTCCAAGTATTCTAAGGATTTCACTTTCAGTTAACAAAATTAAAGACTTGTTTGATAAACGAAATTTTAATTACCTGATTTGACTGACAATCTTTTATGAGATGATAATTCGATATGCATGTAACAGACTAATTTTATATTTTCCTTTATAGGATGAGAACTCTTGCTGGCCAAACCCATGCAGAGGCAAAACCAAATGTGAAGCTGATTTCAACAACCAATATATCTGTGTAACTTACAGTAATTTCATGTTGTTTTTTTTTATTTTGATATAACATTAAATTTTTGAGAGGAGTATCACTTTTCCTTTTAAACAATTTGATATTCATATAAAGCTTGGTTAATTGCTACTGTTCCTGGATTTAAGAATCAAACAGTTATTGAGCATGTGTTCCCAACTGTTTAATAAGTGTTCAATAACATTAACGGTACCAATGTTACTGAAAATGTACTGTAAAGTGTGCTCATTAATTGTACTTGCAAATACTATGCTCGTTAAAGAACCCATCCACCAACTCCTTACATATCCAAAAATGACAGTACGTCATGATTCGTTAGAAAACAAGTAAAAAAAGTCTAGAGAAAAATATGACGCGAGTATGGAGAAAGTTGTACTTTTGTAAAGGCATCATAAAAACAGTTATAGTCCTTTAAATTTTCTTCACACCCATTACATTGCAAAAGCAATTGATCTCCAATACTACATTGGGACATATAATATTATATTAATCACACCACTTTAAATCACTGTATCTAAACTACCCCGGCAAAAAATGTTTGGACTCGATAGTATCTAATGTCCGGTACGGTGACGGACAATCAACAGACAGAGAAAAGGTAGAATTTCTGTTTATTTATTTGTTTTTTAATGACATTGAGAAATAAACATACACATATAACTATTTTCGATTGAATGATGAAATATTTTCTACAACCGTTCTAGATTAATGGAGAAATAAGTAAAAAGGCACATGAAAATGGTGAATTGAGTGAACTTTGCTACGAATTTGTTTAATTTCTTTTTAAATTGAGCACATTGTACGGAAAGAAAAGTACGGAAAGAAAAATATTAACACAGAGATTGCATGGCTAGTCACTATGAGCACCTCAATATTTGCATTTCTGTGCATGGAACGAAAGAAATGGGTCATGTCAAAATGGAAGGACCCTGTTTCGTCAATGTTGTTTATTACCTAAGAACCCGGTTTTGTCTCAGTATAGGACCCGGTTTTGTTTTGTTTTGAAACCACAAATTTATGAAAAGCTACGTTAACACGGATCTGAACATTGCCCATCGGAAGAAATTAAATATGTGAGTCAAAATTATGTTATAAAGATGTTATTGCAATACAAACATGTCGTGTTAAAATATATTTCAAACGGGAACTTTTCGAAATAGGGAGTAGACATTTTTGGATGCTATACGTATACCTTATTGAACTTATCTTCGAACTAAGTTTAAATGGAAATAAATACTTTATAGCATGTACTTACATTAATTCCTTATGATATAAAAAAGAAGATGTGGTGTGATTGTCAATGAGACAACTCTTCACAAGAGACCAAATGACACAGAAATTAACAACTATAGGTCACCGTACGGCCTTCAACAATGAGCAAAGCCTATACCGCATAGTCAGCTATAAAAGGCCTCGAAATGACAAATGTAAAACAATTCAAACGAGGAAACTAACGGTCTAATTTATGTACAAAAAAATGAACGAAAACTAAATATGTAACACAGCAACAAACGGCAACCACTGAATTACAGGCTCCTGACTTGGGACAGGTACATATATGGCTAAACATGTTAGCGGGATCCCAACACTCCCATAACCTGGGAAATTGGTGTATCAGTACAACATAAGAACGAACTATAAAAATCAGTTGAAAAAGGCTTAACTCATCAGATGGGTACAAATAGAAATACATCTCACAAATGTTTGTTTGTTTTCTATGCTACTGTAATGATGTAAAAAGTAAGAAGACGTGGAATGATTGTGTTACCATATCAATTTATCAAAATAGTAAGGATAGTATGCTATACTATACGCTATGTTTACAATATATTTACTCATTCGATCATCCATTGACGGACAGTGAGAGAAGAAGTTCCGTTTTGAAGGCCGTTCTTTGACCTATAATGGTTTACTTTTACAAATTGTGACTTGGATGGAGAGTTGTCTCATTGGCACTCATACCACATCTTCTCATATCTATAAGAACATTTTGGATATCTCAAATCAAAAGATTGCCTTTCGAACGTGTATTTTATGTCCTCTTCGAAATACACAAGTTCTAAACTTCCCTATTAAAATCGAAATAATTCTATCATGCCATGTTCTACGCTCATTTTAACATGGGTAGGCATTATATTTGTCAATATTTTATACCTTGTTAACGCTTGGTTTAAAAATTTTAACAAATATAATGCCTACCTATGTTAAAATGAGCATTGAGCATGGCATGAAAGAATTATTTCTTTTTATAAATAAAAGTTGGTTTGCAACATTATAACGTCCAATATCTTCGTCTTCGTCTTCGTAGAACAACCTAAGTGGCAATTTAGCCCGTGAAAAATTACAATGAGGCAGCTTTTTATCAGAGACGAAATGACGTAAAAGTTAACAAATATAGAACACCGTATGGCATCCAACAATGAGAAACGCCCATACGGCATAGCAAGCTAAATAAGGCCCCGAAATGAAAACTGTAAAAAAAAAACTAATGTGAACACTAACGACCTGATTTATGTACAAAATAAAAAAAAACGAAAAACAAATACATGTATGATATACAGCAACAAAAGACAACCACCGATTTACAGGCTCCTAGATTCGGTACTGGCACATACAGAATGGCGGGGTTTAACGTGTAAGCGCCACCTCCACCCCTCTCCCCCCAAAAAAAACAAGAAAAAAAACTGGTATAACAGCACAACATATGAACAAACTATAAAATTCAGTGAGTTGAAAAAGGCTTAACTCATTTGATTAGAGAGCCCCTATAGTAAATATGCGATTGGCGACTGTCTCTGTTTTTTCGTCTTTTATTAAATTTTATGATGGTTTACGACATAGTTACATTATATCAGTGGCGGATCCAGGGGTTAGATGGAGTACGACGACCCCCCCCCCTCCCCCCTTTTGGTGGCTAGAAATAATTATTTTATCATGTTTTGTATGATTTATATATAATTTTTTATTTAGCATAAAATCGTAAAAAAAAGTTCCCCTTGCTACGCTCGGCGGTGTAAAATCCGTTTATGAATATGCCCCTTTCAAAAATCATGGCCTTGGTCCGCAGTTGCATATTGACAATTTTAAACTTGACCAATGTGCTTGAATTGTAGAACACTTGTCAATGTACGATAATCATTATACAATGAAGAGATAAACCTATATATAATAGTTGTATTATATAGGGCGGTTGTTAACAACTTGATACTAGTGCATTAAAGAATTTGTTAATGTTAAAAAAAAGAGAAGAAAAAAAGAGATAAAATATTATTATACTTAGTATTATTGTAACAAGTAGGGGTAAACAAATTTTTAACACACTATTATTGTGATCCTTTTCGCCGTATGGAAATTCCTTTTCTTGGGCGATTCTGCATGCATATACATTTGTCTTATTCTCTTGCTTTATAATGAACGTTTAGTTTGAAAATTTTTATTTTCTAACGACCATACTGTCTCCCTCTTTAAGTACAGCGGAACATTAAGATAACTATCTTGTTGTCCCAGAAAATCACATATCAAATGTGCGTCCTTAAATTTTCAAGGCCGTACACTTTTAAAGTTTGAACACTCAAATTTACATAGTTGATATAAAAAAATCTAATTGCGTAACAAAACCTTCATTTCTTTTTAATTTTTCCTTTTTTTTTTATACCAAACAAAATTGAAATTTGCTTTGTTCTAATATAGCAGGAATTCAAGTGTTTACGGATTCAAAAAGGTTATTCAACGATCCCTCAAACTCCTGTTGAACGCCATATTTTATTTTTCGTCATGCGATTATGCATTATTTTCTATGACAAAACCGGGTCTGCTTTGTGAAATTTAAGGACAAAACCGGGTCGTACACATTGACAAAACCGGGTGCTTCAATTTTGACATGACCCACTTCTTTCATTCCATGCACAGACATGCAAATATTGAGGCGATCATAGTGAAAAGTCTTGAAATCTCCGTGTTAATATCTTTCTTTCCGTACTTTTCTTTCCGTACAATGTGCTCAATTTAAAGAGAAATTAAACAAATTCGAAGCAGGGTTCACTCAATTCACTATTTTGATGTGCCTTTTTACGTATTTCTCCATAAATCTAGAACGGTTGTAGAAAATATTACATCACACTATCGAAAATAGTTATATGTGTATGTATATTCTTTAATATCATTAAAACAACATATAAATAAACAGAATTTCTACATTTTTCTGTCTGTTGATTGTCCGTCACCGTACCGGACATTAGATACTATTGAGTCCAAACATTTTTCGCCGGGGTAGTTTAGATACAGTGTAAATGTTATGTGGTCATACATAAGCGTTATTGCATTGAGTTCTGGAGGTTGCTCATTATTATTGAATTTGTCAGTAAGAGTAACGACTTATTGGTTCTAAGTCATGTTAAGTAAGATTTTTACAATACTAGCTCACAATTTGAGGTTTGCAGGGAAAATGGCCCGCTTAGACAAGCACATTTTTGTTACAAGGGTGGGGGTCTTTAAAATGAGTAAAGTCTTTCGTTTAACGCCGCATCATTTGACACCGTGGCATTTTGCTATCACGGCGAGCAAAATTCAACGACATGAAAATAATAGTTTTAATGTGAAAGCATTGAGGGGTTAGGTCGCTTAATGGTATTAGTGTCCTGATTAATATTTTCCCCTTCTATTGTTAATTTGTAGATTACAGTTACATCAATCCTACTGAAGGCTTAGTAATTTCTTCTACTTTGTATCCAGGATATTACCCACACAACAATCGGAGAGCTTGGAGTTTTGAGACTCAATATGGAGGAAGAATTGTCATACATTTCTACGCTTTTAGTACTCAAAGCTGTCATGATGTTTTGAAGGTATATGCTTTAAATAATATTAGACGTATCTTTGGTTTAGAACAAAGGCGATAGAACATATTTGTAAGTTCGCCTTGTTTGATAGGCATATTTAAGAAGTTGAAGATAATTATTAAAATCATGTCCAACTACCTCCGAATAAATCACGGCTTTTGTTTGGTTGAGGCGAATTAATTTAAAACTACTTATACTATACTAAATTTAACGGATATATCACATACTGTTAGATCTACTTCATCTTCTACTTACATCTAGACATTGACGTTGCAGAATTTAACTTTACCACAAAAGAATTAACTAAAGTTTAGTGATTTTATCGGCATAGTTACCAAACTTTAAATTATTCAGTGAGAGATAGCATAAATATGTTCTATCGCCTTTGTTCTAAACCAAAGATACGTCTAATGTAGCTCCTTCTCCCCCTTACCATATGCGACCTACTAAATTAAACCGGGTTAGTACTTACATGATCAACACGACGGGTGCCACATGTAGAACAGGATCTGCTTACCCTTCCGGAGTACCTGAGATTACCCCCAGTTTTTCATGGGTTTCTTGTTTCTCAGTCTTTAGTCTTCTATGTTGTGTTTTGTTTCCTGTTGTTTGTCTTTTGTCCATTTTTTTGGCATGGCGTTGTCAGTTTATATTCGTCTTATGAATTTGAATGTCATTTTGGTATATTTCGCCTCTCGGTTGAAGAGCATTGATAACCCAACATTCCGAAACTATAATTGATAGAATTGAAAATGGAAACGGGGAATGTGTCAAAGAGACAACAAACCGACCAAAGAGCATGAAAAAGCTCAAGGACAGCAAAGGGTTTTCAACACTGCGAGAAAATCCCGCACCCGAGGAGGCCTTTAGTTGGTCCCTTAGTATAGTTTCTTTTTATTCTTCTAGGGAAACCTCTACATGAAGTCGGCCTCAAACGAATAAAGCACCAACCCGACAAAAAGGGGACGACAGATGTCTCCAATAGAAATGGGTCTATCTGTTGAAAAACATGTCAACCAAACGTAACAATTATGTTGGCAATAAAATATGACGCATTTTAATTATTTTATTGTTAGATATTAATAGATATTAAATAATGTATGGTTCGTCTAATCCTAAAACAAGAAATATGTATCGACAAGTACATTTACCATTTTTACATTAAATAAAGTTCAATCTGTCAACAAGTTTGGAATAGATATAAATATTAGAAGATGAATTAAGATTGCCAATGAGACAACTCCTTCAGAGATCAAATGACGAAGAATTTAGCAACTATAGGTCACCGTTCGGCCTTAAACGATGAGCAAAACCTATCCGCATAGAAAGCTATAAAAGGCTCCGAAATGAAAAATGTAAAACAATTCAAACGAGAATACTGACGGCTGATTTATGTACAAAACAATAAACGAAGACAAATATGATATATACAGCACCAAACGACAACCACTGAATCAAAGCCTTCTGCCTAGGTACAGGCACACACAGAGGTGGTGGTCCGAGTTAAACGCGTTTGCCAACCCTCCCCTTACCTGGGCTAGTGGTGTAACGTCACAAGATAAAAACAAACTATAAAAATCGGTTATGAATACTTGTGCAAAGGTTGAAGAAGTCAATTTATGAAACCATTTCATGAGGTGAGGGATATTGTATATTCTAATATACGTTTTTCAAATATTTGAGTTTCTACTTCTGATTCACACTGTCCTAAGACATGTTAGAATAGGCAGGTTTGCAGTTAAATCTGAAGTCCGCGTTTGATTGCTAAAAGAATAGATGTGAGTAATTTGAAAAAAAGGTCTCGTGGCGTATTTGACAAATCAAGCTTGATAAATCATTATGTGAAGGACAGTCATGTAAATGGGGTATTAAGAAGTTAATGAAGATTGAGTTCTTAACCTTAAGTTGAAATTCCCAAGAATAGTATAAAAAAACTATGAGTGTCAACACTTTTCACTTTTGTAAGTGCCGTTGGGACTTAAGTAGGTTACCAACTGAATTATCAATACCCACTGCTGTAATCAACCAGTTTTGTTATCGTAAAAATCAATTTTCATTTCTATCACTCTGTCCCTATGAACGATCTTGCGAAGTTCCGGTCAATACCCAAATGCTGTTATGAAACACTTTTTTTATTGTAAGAGTCAATTCTTAGTTCCATTACTATATTCATATAAGCGATCGTACGACGTTGCGATCCTTTCATTGAATTTGGGATTAATTAATTCAAATCACACAGAGAGAGAGAGAGAGAGAGAGAGAGAGAGAGAGAGAGAGAGAGAGAGAGAGTAATATAATACACGAGAGATAAAGGATAGCAGATCAGGTTCAAATCAATCAAAAACGCATAGTATTTAAGTTGTTGTGGATCTTAATGCCCGGTCATGTTTACTCTTTCAATCAATATATTTCTTGTTTTGTAGATATATACCAGTTCGGACAAATCCAGTCCTATTAGATTATGTGGTACATATATTCCTGGTGATATCTTGTCAGATGATAATGCCTTACATATAGAATTTAGTAGTGACCATTCAGTTAGATATTATGGATTTTCAATTAACTTGTATACAATTAAAGCGTAGAAAGATAAAACATTTGACGTTTCATCACCGATGGTATCACCATCTTTGTAGTCAACATTTCTGTGTTAACATCAAATATCAACAACTCAGTCATTTTCTGTTAACTGACTTGATAAAACATGAGAATTGTTCGAACATGTCGAAACACTAGGGTATTTATTTCTACCCAAAGGCATAGTTGGCTGTAGCCAGATTTGTTACAGTATTTGGGAAATTTTGGATTTCAATGCATTTCAAATGAAATTACAGTTTATAAATTTCGTGATTATTGCATTGAGTTCTGGAGGTTGCTCATTATTATTGAATTTGTCAGTAAGAGTAACGACTTATTGGTTCTAAGTCATGTTAAGTAAGATTTTTACAATACTAGCTCACAATTTGAGGTTTGCAGGGAAAATGGCCCGCTTAGACAAGCACATTTTTGTTACAAGGGTGGGGGTCTTTAAAATGAGTAAAGTCTTTCGTTTAACGCCGCATCATTTGACACCGTGGCATTTTGCTATCACGGCGAGCAAAATTCAACGACATGAAAATAATAGTTTTAATGTGAAAGCATTGAGGGGTTAGGTCGCTTAATGGTATTAGTGTCCTGATTAATATTTTCCCCTTCTATAGTTAATTTGTAGATTACAGTTACATCAATCCTACTGAAGGCTTAGTAATTTCTTCTACTTTGTATCCAGGATATTACCCACACAACAATCGGAGAGCTTGGAGTTTTGAGACTCAATATGGAAGAAGAATTGTCATACATTTCTACGCTTTTAGTACTCAAAGCTGTCATGATGTTTTGAAGGTATATGCTTTAAATAATATTAGACGTATCTTTGGTTTAGAACAAAGGCGATAGAACATATTTGTAAGTTCGCCTTGTTTGATAGGCATATTTAAGAAGTTGAAGATAATTATTAAAATCATGTCCAACTACCTCCGAATAAATCACGGCTTTTGTTTGGTTGAGGCGAATTAATTTAAAACTACTTATACTATACTAAATTTAACGGATATATCACATACTGTTAGATCTACTTCATCTTCTACTTACATCTAGACATTGACGTTGCAGAATTTAACTTTACCACAAAAGAATTAACTAAAGTTTAGTGATTTTATCGGCATAGTTACCAAACTTTAAATTATTCAGTGAGAGATAGCATAAATATGTTCTATCGCCTTTGTTCTAAACCAAAGATACGTCTAATGTAGCTCCTTCTCCCCCTTACCATATGCGACCTACTAAATTAAACCGGGTTAGTACTTACATGATCAACACGACGGGTGCCACATGTAGAACAGGATCTGCTTACCCTTCCGGAGTACCTGAGATTACCCCCAGTTTTTCATGGGTTTCTTGTTTCTCAGTCTTTAGTCTTCTATGTTGTGTTTTGTTTCCTGTTGTTTGTCTTTTGTCCATTTTTTTGGCATGGCGTTGTCAGTTTATATTCGTCTTATGAATTTGAATGTCATTTTGGTATATTTCGCCTCTCGGTTGAAGAGCATTGATAACCCAACATTCCGAAACTATAATTGATAGAATTGAAAATGGAAACGGGGAATGTGTCAAAGAGACAACAAACCGACCAAAGAGCATGAAAAAGCTCAAGGACAGCAAAGGGTTTTCAACACTGCGAGAAAATCCCGCACCCGAGGAGGCCTTTAGTTGGTCCCTTAGTATAGTTTCTTTTTATTCTTCTAGGGAAACCTCTACATGAAGTCGGCCTCAAACGAATAAAGCACCAACCCGACAAAAAGGGGACGACAGATGTCTCCAATAGAAATGGGTCTATCTGTTGAAAAACATGTCAACCAAACGTAACAATTATGTTGGCAATAAAATATGACGCATTTTAATTATTTTATTGTTAGATATTAATAGATATTAAATAATGTATGGTTCGTCTAATCCTAAAACAAGAAATATGTATCGACAAGTACATTTACCATTTTTACATTAAATAAAGTTCAATCTGTCAACAAGTTTGGAATAGATATAAATATTAGAAGATGAATTAAGATTGCCAATGAGACAACTCCTTCAGAGATCAAATGACGTAGAATTTAGCAACTATAGGTCACCGTTCGGCCTTAAACGATGAGCAAAACCTATCCGCATAGAAAGCTATAAAAGGCTCCGAAATGAAAAATGTAAAACAATTCAAACGAGAATACTGACGGCTGATTTATGTACAAAACAATAAACGAAGACAAATATGATATATACAGCACCAAACGACAACCACTGAATCAAAGCCTTCTGCCTAGGTACAGGCACACACAGAGGTGGTGGTCCGAGTTAAACGCGTTTGCCAACCCTCCCCTTACCTGGGCTAGTGGTGTAACGTCACAAGATAAAAACAAACTATAAAAATCGGTTATGAATACTTGTGCAAAGGTTGAAGAAGTCAATTTATGAAACCATTTCATGAGGTGAGGGATATTGTATATTCTAATATACGTTTTTCAAATATTTGAGTTTCTACTTCTGATTCACACTGTCCTAAGACATGTTAGAATAGGCAGGTTTGCAGTTAAATCTGAAGTCCGCGTTTGATTGCTAAAAGAATAGATGTGAGTAATTTGAAAAAAAGGTCTCGTGGCGTATTTGACAAATCAAGCTTGATAAATCATTATGTGAAGGACAGTCATGTAAATGGGGTATTAAGAAGTTAATGAAGATTGAGTTCTTAACCTTAAGTTGAAATTCCCAAGAATAGTATAAAAAAACTATGAGTGTCAACACTTTTCACTTTTGTAAGTGCCGTTGGGATTTAAGTAGGTTACCAACTGAATAATCAATACCCACTGCTGTAATCAACCAGTTTTGTTATCGTAAAAATCAATTTTCATTTCTATCACTCTGTCCCTATGAACGATCTTGCGAAGTTCCGGTCAATACCCAAATGCTGTTATGAAACACTTTTTTTATTGTAAGAGTCAATTCTTAGTTCCATTACTATATTCATATAAGCGATCGTACGACGTTGCGATCCTTTCATTGAATTTGGGATTAATTAATTCAAATCACACAGAGAGAGAGAGAGAGAGAGAGAGAGAGAGAGAGAGAGAGAGAGAGTAATATAATACACGAGAGATAAAGGATAGCAGATCAGGTTCAAATCAATCAAAAACGCATAGTATTTAAGTTGTTGTGGATCTTAATGCCCGGTCATGTTTACTCTTTCAATCAATATATTTCTTGTTTTGTAGATATATACCAGTTCGGACAAATCCAGTCCTATTAGATTATGTGGTACATATATTCCTGGTGATATCTTGTCAGATGATAATGCCTTACATATAGAATTTAGTAGTGACCATTCAGTTAGATATTATGGATTTTCAATTAACTTGTATACAATTAAAGCGTAGAAAGATAAAACATTTGACGTTTCATCACCGATGGTATCACCATCTTTGTAGTCAACATTTCTGTGTTAACATCAAATATCAACAACTCAGTCATTTTCTGTTAACTGACTTGATAAAACATGAGAATTGTTCGAACATGTCGAAACACTAGGGTATTTATTTCTACCCAAAGGCATAGTTGGCTGTAGCCAGATTTGTTACAGTATTTGGGAAATTTTGGATTTCAATGCATTTCAAATGAAATTACAGTTTATAAATTTCGTGATTTCGAAGCTCCAAGTTTCTTGATATATGAATGGAATATCCAATTTTGAATACAAACAGTGTAAAATTATATCGAAGGTATCAAAAATCATACAAAAGTTGACGTTGCATCATGCTTAACATTAGAAGCACGTTACCATTTATAAGCATTTGATAAAAATGCATTGCATAGCATTATGCTATTAACGATCAGTTAGACATGCTGTTTCGTTTTAGTGTATTTCACTTCTTTTTACATTATTTATATGGTTAAATTTGGTTTAACAAATTAAAGTATCGGTTAAATGTAGTATTTATTAATTGATAGTTCCGTAAGTATTTCCCGACGATTGGCCAATTAAAATCCAGTCGGGTGACTTTTTGTTATTTTGTTATTTTTATTTTTTTGTGCCCCGATATCCCGGTCGAGCTCTATGACTATAGGAATTATGAATAAAGTCATAACATGTAACCGGGTCACCGGCAGTCTACTGTTTAGAAATTGGAATGAGCAGACGCTAATACTATGCATGGTAAGTTTGTAAGGGACATTGTATTAAACAACATGTAGACCAGCCGCCACCATACACTTTTATATTTAATGTATGTAAATTTATATCCAATCTTCTCAATAAAAAATGCATTCATATTTACTTTGTTCGCCTAATATCCCAGAATGTGTGCATACAACAAAGTCAGACATAACAATCTTTTTTAAAGCAAGTTTAGTTTATGACATTTGTGTTTTTAAAATCATTTGAAAATATGACCAAGATTATTTATTGGTGTCTATAAAGTTTGTTCGTTTAACACTAATAAACTGCATTTGTATTCTCCAGGTAGCGAAATTTTGTGAAAGTTCCACGGCTGGGTTAATCTCAAAGTCTTGAAATTAGTACATGTATGACCTACTCCTCCGCTTACTACGATGCCCTTTGAAGTAAGAGCTAACAAGACACGATTTGTCCGAGTAGCGTGATATGTTAATCCGTGAGCATACACGTTAACAATCCATCTAAACGTGTTATCATATCTCATTAACACGCTTCCGTCCTAGACAATTTAATCGTGTTAATGTATGATGCACATGACGTTGAACAGTCACCAATCCATCAAGGTACCATGACGCTGTAGCAGAATTTTTCTGGTTTGGTCCATATTGCATTTTCAATATATTTCATTTCGTGACATAACCAAGTACAGTGTTCTCCTGTTGTCTTTTGTTTCATTGGGCATTATTTACAAAACTTTCCCAAATTTCATACGTTTAATTGCAGTAGTTTATTAGATTTAATTTTTATTCATGCATAACTCTAACTTACAAAAAAAAAACAGGGAAAACTATAATAAAACCAACTAACATTTTATAGGCCAATGAACACGTTTCAAACAAACATAAATTTAATACTTATTTACATTTTCCAAATTAAAAAGGAGCTGAATGTCAAAAGTACCTTATGTTGCCTTGGTTACATCTATATGATTTGAATGGAAAGTTATACGTAAATGTATTTAAATATTTAAAAGTGAATTGGATATGAATTATACAATTAATACAATACTTTTGAAATTTGAAGAATAAGTCATACATGCTACATTAAATTATTTACATTTAATTAATCAATATTGAGAGTGTCACTTTAAACCAATGGATTACTTTCAGATTGGAAGAAAAAGACCAACGTTTTTAGGATCATGCAAATGATCCTGTAGAATGAATGATGACGCTATACATGAAACTGAATTAATCAAAAATTAGAACTTAATTCCATGTATTGACACAAGCTCAGTGGAAGATAAATTTTTAACGTAAAAGATCTTTTTTTACGGATCTAGTGAAAAAGATTGAAAAAGTATAATAAAACTATGCTCATTCTTTCAGTCACCTTTTTAGTTTATATTCAGCTTTAAGTTACTGCTTCCAAATGTCGAAGACAATCATACATTACCCGTGTAAAAAAAAAGACAAAAAGACCAACAACGGTCCACAATTACTACGCACAGAAAATTCAATATTAAGCAACCAAAGTTTCCGAACCCCAAAAAAAACCAGGACATCAATTTCTGTTCCATTATATTTTCTGCTTACTATCCTTTTGGATAGATGGATGGATGGATAGATGGCTGTTGAACTCCAGTTGCAAATAAAATGCATATTCAAGACGACATGGTAATTCGATATGAATATAAACCTTCCTTTGTACTAGACCGACACGCTAGGTCACAAGGCAACAGTCCGCAGGAACACATGTTACCTAACCCGGACAAATTATTCTGACTCCGAGCAGACCAGTATTTGATCGTACTCCCAAATAACGCGTGATTGGCGGAGAAGCAGCAAATACCAATTTTAAAGTCTTGCTATGATTTTGGATTGTACGTGCTGTTATCAGGATTCATAACACAAGAGAACACTTATAAGAATCTTGAAGTATTTAAAAGTACATGTATCATGGCAATTGGTATTGGCTAAAATAATATCGGGCTACCATTAAATTCGATCCGAACTTTTTCTTTGGATGGACTAAATCTAATTCTAATATGACGTGCTTCTTTTGCTTTGTAAACAACAGCGTGATAAAATTCTCGATATATCTTTACTTAGCGCAGACTCAGAGATGTATAATACTAAATCCATCAATTTGAAACACAACTTCAAAATAGTGATGAGAAACTGAATGGGTCTATGAATACCCACGCTACATCAATCTTTAAAGACCCAAATGTTGCAAAACACTTGTCCTACCTCCATGACAAATATGTTGTTGTCCACGCAGATAAAGCCCCAAACAACATCGTTTTTGTGTGTAAATCACATTACATAAACTGCTTGATAAATGAATTAGGTGTTGACGATTCACCTGGAAACTGAACATATACCCACACGACACTTACCAAAGAGAAGATCATGGATAATCATAGGTCTGTTCTATGTTCCTTTGGAATTTAGAACAAAGATGAAGAACTGGATCTTCCATCACTGTATTGGATACCTAAACTACATACATGTCCTTACAAACAAACGTTATATTGCTGGGTCTTCCAAGTGCTCCACGAAACCTTTTTCTAAATTATTAACATCAATTTTATCAGCAATCAAAGCCGGGCTTCAGAGTTGTGAAACTACATATTCTAGAGATGGTGTGAATCAAATGCTGATACTAAAAAATTCCAAAGATCTTTTAGTTTAGAGAACATACAATCTAAGACTATTTCTATTCTATTAAACCTGAACTGACATAATCAAGATGCTTGATTTCTTCATTTACAACCTATTTGTTACGTTTGGAGGACGTGTTTTTCAACAAACAATCGGAATTTCCATGGGAACCAACTGTGCCCCTCTTCTTTCCTACTTGTTCCTTTAGCAGTATCCTTTAACTTTTATTTCCGCTTTATATAGATGATGTTCTCTCACTAAATAATTCAAAATTTGATGACTATGTTGAACGCATCTATCTGTTGGCGTTTGTTTTTGTTGCAGTTCAGTGTTTCTGTTGTTCCGTTGTTTTCCACTTATAGTTGATGTGTTTCCCTCGGTTTTAGTTTGTAACCCGGATTTGTTTCGCTTAATCGATTTATGACTATTGAACAGTGGTATACTACTGTTGCCTTTCTTTATCTATCCCATCGAACTTGAGATAAAGGATACAACAGATACAGTCAAGTCTGTCTCATATCTTGACTTACATCTAGAAATTGATAATGAGGGTCGATTGGAAACAAAACGTTACGATAAAAGAGATGATTTCAGCTTCCAAATTGTGAACTTTCCATTTCTATGTAGCAACATTCCAGCAGCACCTGTATACGGAATATATATCTCCCAGTTGATACGATATTCCAGGGCTTGTATTTCCTATCATGATTTCCTTGATAGAGGGTTGCTGCTTACAAGGAAGCTATTAAACCAAGAAGTGGTGAAGTTGAAATCATCCATTCGTAAATTTTACGGACGCCATCAGTTGGTTGACCGTTATGGAATATCCGTTTCATAGATGATAGCGGATATGCTCCAAATGTCGTAACTACAATCCCGACCACTTTTCCCCGAATGTGACCTTCCGAATTAGACCTATTACCGGGTGTGTACTAACATGAGCAAGACGATGGGTGCCACATGTGGAGCAGGATCTGCTTTCCCTTCCGGAGCACCTGAGATCACCACCGGTTTTTGGTGGGGTTCGTGTTGCTCAGTCTTTTGTTTTCTATGTTGTGTTATGTGTACTATCGTTTGTCTGTAACTGGTCTTTTTCTTTTTTAGCCATGGCGTTGTCAGTTGATTTTCGACTAATGAGTTTGAATGTCCCTTTGATATCTTTCGCCTCTCTCTCATGTACATATTAATAGCTGTTACTATTTACCTCCCACGTAAATCCACATGTATCGTAATCTATGTGCAAAAACTATGTGGATTTTGTTGTGTTGAAATTGAAATTGAAAAAGAAACTACAGAACCGTTATTCCTATTCTAATGCATAACAAAAAGAATGAATGCATAAGATCTTAAAATATGTATAGAATTAAAATAAAATAAATTTCCGCGAAATTTCATGAATGATCTTGGCGCATTAACGTCATGTCAAAACATTGCGTCATACGAATGAAATGTCTTAAGCTGAAGATTATTCCGCTATGTGTACGCTCTAAATTACGATAATATTGCATTAAAATGGAGTTTTGAGGTAGGCGTTGTCTTATTTTCTATTCTATTTCATCATTAGTTACGACATGTCAACTGTGGATTTGACAGTAGATAGTAGGCAACGAAAAAAATGTTGGGTTAAGAATTATAAGGAAAGAACACATTTTTTCTAGTGGTATTTACGAAATAATTTATGCAAGCCTTAGATTTATTTGAAATTTGTAGCTTTTACCTCAGAGGGGGTAAAATAGAACAGCCATACACACGGCAATCTTGCCTTTGCTTCAGTTTTTCAAATTACCGTATTTGTCTTATAAGAATCGAAATAATTCATGCAAACCATAGATTTGTTGGAAATTTTTACATTGCCTGGGCCGTTATATTCGAATTTTATCTCAAGCTTTAGCGAGGGATAAAATTAACGAATATAACAGCCCAGGCCATGTGAAAATGATAACAAATCTATGGCTTGCATGAATTATTTCTTAATTTGACATCTAACAACGTGTATAAGAAAGGCCCCATGTCGACGTCTTCCGGTTGAAATATGAACTTTCAATCCAATCCATGATGTAGGGAGTAAGTCGTGCTATCTACTCGTTCAGGAACCTTAAAATAAAACTTTTCATGGCCCTGGTGAATTTTATTGCAAAACACAATGTGTGTCCCTATCAAAAACACCCTATGGTAGTCCAAATTTTCAACCCATACGCAGGTGGTATTACGATGTAGATTTTCCTCTGCCGTCCAAGATACCTAATTTTACTGTTCAAACATCCCACCTTATATTCGAGTCTTACTACTTTGCAAGGTCTATCAAATTTATTGTTAGTTTGTTCTCGTTCTGAATATGCCCGAAATATTTGCCACTAAACGTTAAGCAAACACCTGTCAATCAATCAATCATTCAATCAAACAAGCAGTCGTGTCAGAGTAAAAATAGAAAACTTGCAACTGTTTAGCACAGATGAGTCATTTTTTGTGGGGCTTACAATTTTCTTCCCCAGATAAATATTTTTTTCGACTTTAAACAAAACCACTCTATTTTTTCAATATCATTCAGGAAGAAGAAATGTTTTGGAAACTCTATATTACGTGTATTTGGCAAAATCTTTTGGAATTTTGGGTCATCAATGCTCCTCGACTTCGTACTTTATTTGCCCTTCGATTTTTTTTATTCGAGCTTGACTGGTGAGTCTTTGTAGATGAAAAAAGTAAAATCACAAAAATACTGAACTCCGAGGAAAATTCAATCGGAAAGTCCCTAATCACATGGTTATTTGAGTGATTGTAGAAAAAAAGCGCGTGTCGTACTAAATTGTAAAATTTTTCACAGGAAAAAAAATATGTTTCACTGCCTTTGTGAATTTGTTTGCCTTAACTTCACGAATAACGTCAATTTGCTTAAATATCCTTAAATTCAAAACAAACCTGATCTATTCCTAAATAAATGTTATGCAATTCGGTAGTTTTACTCGAATCTTTGAATCAGCTCTCTCGTCGTATCTGGTCATAAGTTTAGAGTGTTACTGTTATTTGAATCAGCTCTCTCGTCGTATCTGGTCATAAGTTTAGAGTGTTACTGTTATTTGAATCAGCTCTCTCGTCGTATTTGGTCATAAGTTTAGAGTGTAACTGTTATTTGAATCAGCTCTCTTGTCGTATCTGGTCATAAGTTTAGAGTGTTACTGTTATTTGAATCAGCTCTCTTGTCGTATCTGGTCATAAGTTTAGAGTGTTACTTTTATTTGAATCAGCTCTCTCGTCGTATTTGGTCATAAGTTTAGAGTGTTACTGTTATTTGAAAAAGTTGATTGGTTTGTGTTATACTTATTGATATTAGTGTAACAACATAGCTATACAAATATATGAAATGAAAATATTCATATAACAAAAACATCATTCAAACAGTTGACGTTTAACGCTGTTATTAATACCGCGCTGAAGTACTATTGATATAATTTTAAATAATGTTGTTATTTTGGGAATAAAAGGAACTGAAGGCTCTATAATGGATAATAAAAACATAAACCATCAGTAACAAGTTTGGATTTTCATAGTTAATTGCTATATTTTACTCTTTCTTGTCCGTTTCCTCATGAAATTTTTTTTCACCGTTTCGAGAAATATATATTTCGCCATTTAGTCTTCAAGTATTAAGATACATATTAATATGTATCTTATTCATGAGTGGAGATTTCTTTGTTTTTTGCTGCCATTTGCTAATGGTAAGTTTATTACATTATGATAAGATAAAGTTGAATGAAAAAAATATTACAGTATTGATTTTTACTTTCATTAAAATAATAACAACCATCATCATAACCATAAAAATAATGATTGTGATAATCATAAAAATAATGAAATAGAATAAAAATATTCTAGTAAACAATCCAATCATGACAATTAAAAGAATAATCATACATGCTATTACATTACACCGACCCCCTCATAGAAAATGTTGATACAAAAAACATTTATGTCTGCATCATGAGATGCGCAATGATACTGACCACGTGATCGCTAAAACCCCCATGGTTTAAGACCGTACATTTTACAATAATTATGACTTCTGATAATTTGAGATTTGCTTGACCAACTTTGGAAACGCTTATAACATTTTGAATATTTCCTAAAATTACTTTTAATTTCAATGCGAACGGATGATATTTAATACTTTATGCTTAAACACTTCCTTTCTATTTAATTTATTTTGTGCAGCACTGAGTGTCAGCCTCAATGGAGGACAAACAACAACAACCATATCTGAAGATACCACAGACGAAAAGCAGCTTACATTGATCATAGTAACAGGGGTTACAGCAGGCCAGACCGTATCGTGTGACTTAAATCCTTCTCAAACGGAATTCTGGGTAAAATTGGATCCCGCCTCTGGACGTAAGTTAAAAAAAAAGGTAATGCGTGAACTTTAATAAAATGCTGAAAGGAAACAGAATTAAAAAAAAAAACACTTAATATAATAAATTATGAAATATAGCACATACTAATTGTAACTCATACCAATGATTGCATACATGTATGAGTTAAAATAAGCAAAGAATGTTCAATAGGAATCATTCACGACTTTTCACGCGTGGCGGCGCTGCGGTTCCATAAGTGGTTACTTGAACGCTTCAATCACGTAAAACGCTTGCATCTGTATTTACAACGTAAACAATGGCATCCGATGATTACAATACCTGGTCTGTTCCAGAACTCACGTTACGTGGAGCTGTCACAAGAGACAGAAATATAGATCTTATAGAAAGGTAAACGATGTATTTAAAAAAATATTGAGATTTCTTCTATTATAAGCGGAAACGCCGCTACAGTACATTGCCAAAAAGCTTTCGTCACCTACATTTTTGGGCTATATATTTCATATAAAAAGACGTTTATTTGAGGCATTTATATATGGTTGTATTTTTACAAATAATGTGTTGAAAAACGCTGAATTGTATATGAAGAGTATTTGTTTGTTTTGTCATAGCTCTGTCATCTGTCAATGTCTGTTGTTTTTATTTTCTCCTGATGTGAACACATATACTATTCTTTACAATTTAATTTGGTTGAAATATAAATATATAGGAAGATTGTTTATAATAGACAATAATATTTATGTTTATCTCAGAAGAAAATGAAAATAAACAAATAATTAATCTCGTACCAAGTTGCATAAAATCAAATCAGAAATGTCCCCTAAATAATCTTTTGAAATGCAATTTTATATGAAATATTTATTGTGAAATACCAAGTGACAAGTACATGTACCCCAAGTTAGAAAAAAGCAAAATAACAACCCCACTGAACATATAAATAGTCATGAATATATAATTAAACTTTCTAGGATACATTTAAATGATTTTGTATAATAATAATTAAAAATAGGGGTTCTATACAGATATTATCTGTTGGCCATGAAATGTGATACAGACCATGCAGACTGGGCAAGGGAAAATTAAATTTAACTTGTTATATACTGGGACTATTATACTAATAGTCTATTAGTCCCAGTTTTATATAAACAATTTATTACTTTTGAAAATGGGACAATTGCACAAGGAAAGTATTAAATCCTCCCAATACCACTTTTAAACAAGACATGATTCTACATTTTTAAGCTTTAAATCTTTTAATATGTCTCAGCTTCATCAACTTAAAAAAAAGACACTGTAAAAAAATATAAAGGCCCTTCTCTGCAAACTTTTTATATATAACATGATGGGGTCAAATTTGGAAATTTTAAAAGATATGTACATCTATAATGAAGTTTTATTTGCAATTCAAGTTCAAACAAGGAATTATTTAAATATATGGAATAATTTCAAATTCTGCAAAATTTATTAGAACATAATTATGAAAACTAACCCAACTAAATATTTTTTAAACTTAAAAATGTGGTCCCTATACATATAGTTCTACGTCCTTTTTGAATCCTATCTGTGCTTGGCAGATAATCTTATAAGATTCTAAATAGTTTTCTAAACTATTATACTCTAGAAAAAAATGTTCCTAAACTAGTAAAAAGGGTTATACCTCTGTTGTTTGAAGGGCTATTAAAACATCTTCCTTTGAATATGGGTTAAATAAATTTTCTCTCCAATAAGAACTTCTTGCTAGAGAGAAAATTTTATTAATTTTTAAGAAAAAAGTAATGTTTTATAATTTTATATACATATCATGCCCAACATTCAGCATACAAGAATTTTTCAAAATTTCATTAGTTATACCATTTAATCCACATGATATCTTGTTTTTCAAATATTTCATGGCAAGCAGAATTTAATCTATGTAATAGTACTTTAAAAAATCTTTACCTACATGTTTTAAAAAAATTCAAACCATTCCTTAGCTTGTTTAATTAAACTTTGGCTGGAACATGCATTAAATATTTGTCACTGGACATTAAGATTCCAACAATCAATCAGTATATTTGAACTTGAATCATTGATTTCTTTCCTTTTTGTCTTGCCTTGACAGAGTCCAAAAGCAAGACATAGCATATATTAGGTATGCTGTTTTCAGCGTCATCAACAATGTATTAGTTAGTAAAGTAATATAAAATAGTGAAATATTGCAGACATTTTCTACTGGTAGATATTTGTAACCATGAAAGACAATATATTCATTATACAGTTTTCATGATTAATCGCACAGGCACTTGTCTCAAAAAAAAATTTCCTATATAATACCTTAATATAACACGTGTTATAGGAAATTTTTTTCTGAGACAAGTGCCTGTGATTAATCGCTAGCCCTTCAAGGCCAGGCCTGATATATTTTTTGTAAGTATAGATAATTGTTAATGTGTCAATCCTAGTCAGGAGCCTTTAATTTAGTAGTTATAGTTGGTTAATTTCTGATATATATACATATATATTTGTTTTTTTATTGTCTTATTTTATAATTTAAAATCAAGCAATTAGTTTTCTTGTTTGAATTTTCTTTCATTTTTGAATGTTGTGACCTTTGTAGCTGACTAGTACTATGTGATTTTTTCTTGACTGTATTTTATTTAATATTTTGACTTTTTTTTATCTTTTGTAGAATCAATTAGAAGAGCCAAAATTTATAAGCTTAGATTCAAAACATTCTGGAGGAGCAGATTGTGTGAAGGTATTTATCCTTTTATAGCCTCAATCTATATTACAAAAATGTATTTGTGTTAAAATATACAATTACCATTAAGACAGTTGATTTTTTGTAAGACCAAATAAAGGTTACAGGTCCTAATCTCAGTTGGGAAAATGGTACTGTACAGTTTTATTTTAGTACTGGTGAACTCTACCGTTACAAACTCGTATGATAATAATACACCTGAAACTCCACAGATGTACATGTATATCTTCCGAATCCAGCCACACTGATTAGATGTCGCTTTTCAATATAAATTTTTATGAAACCAGACTGGATTAAAATAAAATTTTCATGTGTAATTTGATGAAATTTAAATTATCTCCACTAGTTTACTCACTAAACAACAGGACTAATCTGTTAACATTTTCTTTACAGAAGCCAGCAGAAGTCAAAAGAAATAAAAAGAATGGAACAAAAGAAAAATTGAAAAAGAACAGTGAAATGACAAAATTAAATAAAAACTTTGCATTTCTTATTGTTGTTATCTTGTGTATTGTTGACCAAGACAGCAAAGAAAACCATCGAAAAGCTGTTCAGACAGAAAATGACAGATGCTACACATGATCAAACAAGAGATAAAAAAACACTTCTAAGAAAAAATTTGTTCAATGCTGGACCAAATGAAATGCATGAGGATATTTATAATCTGAAATAAAATGCTTTGCTGAGCGCAGCCTGATACGACCGCAGAGGTCGAACCCTATACAGTTGGGGCAAATTTGGACACAATATTCAAGCTTGATACTGTCTGAATTTGGATTGTAATCAAATTTTTGACATAATATAGGTTTCTGACACAAAATAAATGTGGTCAAAGATCTTATAAATCCATTGCGCAATACTGTTCAATTGAAGATTTCTTCTTGAAACTTTTCAAAACTTCGAAATTTTAAAAATTTTGAAAAAAAAATATGAATCCCTTAAAAAAAAAATTGTGAACCCCCCCCCCCCTCAACTTTTTGACCCCCCCCCCCCCCTTGGAGCAATAACCCCAAAACTCAATCCCAGCCTTTCCTTTGTAGTATAATTTCAGAGAGATCCATACACTTACACACAAGTTATTGTCTGGAAACTAGAAAAATGCTTGTTTTTGGCCCCTAATTCCTACATGTTTGGGGCAATTAACCCCAAACTCAATCCCAGCCTTCCCTTTGTTATATGGAACCTTGTGGTACAATGTCAGAGAGATCCATACTTACACACAAGTTATTGTCTGGAAACTAGAAAAATGCTTGTTTTTGGCCCCTTTTTGGCCCTTAATTCCTAAACTGTTGGCCCTATAACCCCTAAAATGAATCCCAACCTTCTACTTGTAGTATTAAACTTTGTGGTACAATTTCAGAGCAGTCGATATACTTATACACAAGTTATTGTCCTGAAACTAGAAAAATGCTTGTTTTGGGCCCCTTTTTGGGCCCCAAATTCCTAAACGGTTGGGACCATCATCCCCAAAATCAATCCCAACCTTCATTTTGTGGTATTAAACCTTCTTAAAAAATTTCATAAAGATCAATTCACTTAAACTAAAGTTATTGTCCGGAAACCAATGTGTCTTCGGACGACGACGACATCATACGATCCCAAAAAAAATGTTGCGGTCGTATAAAAATTAATACCTCTATGTAAGTGAAACAAATTATGCGGTATGGGCTTTGCTCATTGTTGAAGGCTGTACGGTGACCTATAGTTGTAATTATTTCTGTGTCATTTGGTCTCTTGTGGAGAGTTGTCTCATTGGCAATCATACCACATCTTCTTTTTCATATGTGTTCAGTGCAAAATACAAAAAAATGGACTATTCAATAAAATTGATATCTAAGACAGGAAATATTGGGGTTTGTCAATGAGACATTACCCGACAAAAATAGACAACATATATATAGATTAAACAGGCATCAACAGCATGCAGACAAATGTAAAAGGAGATGTGGGGTAAAGATCAGTATGACGGCAGTTGTTTTCTCAAATGTGGATTCAGGATTTTGAATCTAGATAAAGTGACCCCCCCCCCCCCACTCCACTCTGAAGCAACTGTATTAAAACAAAGTCAATGTAGGACTTTCTTTGAGATATTATTGTGTCTGGGAGACACAATTGATGCCCCCGTAGATGCAAGGTGTTATTTTAAAATAACTATAACATTTAACCGCTTATACCCCAAAAATGACAAAGTTCAACTATCTCCCAAAAGGGCAAATATCAATAAAAATGAAAAACATAACCACATGCACATCTTCAATATATGTACAAACAGACAGCAAAGTGAAAACTTCCTAGGACTCTAACTGTAGGAGGAGTTGTGCTGGATAACTATATACCCATAATGGGACGAACGGACAGACAGAAGGACAGACAGGGGTAAAATAATATGCCCCCAACTTTCAGTTGCGGGGCATTAAAAGGGGTCATCAGGCCCCAAACTAGACAAAGTTTTGAGAGTAATAAAAAAATCTGGATTTACCATAAATGTAGCTCCATAAGGGCCATAAAGGGGGGACCCAGGCACCCCACTCCTAAATCTGTCTCTGATATTAAACATTGTTTATATGTTTCTGAATATTTTATAAAAAGACTTGAGAGATTATGTTAGAAAACATTTTTATAATGATATTTCGAATAACATTTAAATGATTTTTTAATGATTTTTTGAGAATATGAAGATTATTAAAACATTTTGTTAAAACATATTTTTTGAACTTTTTCAAAACATTTTATCCTGCAGAAATGAATTTTTTAAAAATGTTTCAGGGATATTTGATTGACAAACACATTCAAATCATTTATAAGACATTTTACAAAAATTGTTGTCAAAATTCAGTAACATTTTAATGATGTTTTAAAAGTATCATGAAAATGTTTTGAAAATATTTTTAACGCCATACATTTGTGCATGATTTTGATATTTTTCTACAATATTTTTTCAACATTTTTCTATTTTTTTGGGTGCTAACTGGGAAAGCAGTGGTGAAACAGCACCACATTAGAACAAATAATAAAATCAATTGCATGTAAATCCATTTCATCTTTTATGCATATTTATTTACAATGTATTTTTATGAAATTAGAAAGAACACAGCAAACACAGATAATTCTGGAACCAAGTTGAATTAGAAGTTTCCACATGGAATTACATGTTTCAGATTGTTTATTCCCCTGCCACAGTGGAGGAGGGGCATTAAGTTTTACCCTTGTGTAACTTTTAGACAATACAAGGACTCTTTTAATGTGAATTCGGTTGGACGACACTTTTCTATCACAAACTACTTTCTTCTGATCTAGTTGGAATTTCCCTTTCAGAAAAGTTTGTGTGTTAATATAAGGAACTGTCTTGGCTAGTAAATAAATCCTGTTCCATAATTCCACTATTTGCCATTTGTTGTCACCTTTGTAAAATTTTTTTTTACATCTGGTTCTGACAGAAGTATTGATCCTCGCACTTGCAGCCACTTGGATTTTAACCATGAATTCATTTCAAACATAAACCAGATGTATCCCATTCATCACTTCATGGTTGGGTAAAAAGTCAGTTATCCATGATGGCTTCTGAAATATTAAAACAGGAAAACACAAAGCATCATGTTATTTAATAAACTGCAGGTTCAGAATTTTTTTCTTATCATTCATAAAGGACAAGCGTTTAATGCAGGGATGTGTGTGATGTTTTTTTCTAACAAAAATACTCTTGATTTCCAACTTTGAAGAATTAAAAAAAATTGTTCTGACAGCTTTTGCCATAAGTTTAATGTAAAGTCCTTAGCAAATTCAGACTTTAGGGAGCTACCATTTGATTTTTATGGGCGGAGCTAGGATGAAAAATTTTGTCCTGCCTATTTATTTTTCCCTCTATTCGGTCCTGCCTTTTTATTTTGCACTCTATTCGGTCCTGCCTTTTTTTTTTTTACTTTATCCTGACTTTTTTTTAGATAAATTGTCATCCTGCCTTTTTTTTTTGGCAAATAATCTTATCCTGCCTTTTTTTTTACTCAAAACTCCTGTCCCTCTTATTTTTTTCAAATTTCATCCTAGCCCCCCCATAAAAATCAAATGGTAGCTCCCTTATTGCGACAAACAAATAGAAAAATTATGCTCATATGTACCATGGTTTTTTTTAGAATGCAATATAGGGATTGTCATATTTCCCAATACATGTAGTTCTCTTCCTTTCATGCATTGTTTTGTCAGGGAAATATATTTCAATTGCTATAATTAAGTGTACAACATAATTATTATTTCTTATTTACAATGCAAACAAAGGTAAAAGGGTGAAAAAATGTGAAGACTAGGAAAAAACTTACAAAGTGTGAGGGTATATTTGAAGAATAAAATACATCCCTGTGTCATTCCCCTATTTTAATAAATAATAACCTGTCAAATTATTGGGCTGTTTAATCGAGAAAAAATAAAACAAAGAGGTTAAATACTGTACTAAATATAAGAAAAATATAAATACATAATAACCTAATCCTGTTGTTATATAATCTCCTGGCATGACATGGTTAACAGCTGGTTATGGCAAACTTGGTCGAATATTTTCCGCCGGGTTTCCCTAGATATTTTTGATGGGTGGATCAACTCTCTTGATGCCTTCTCTCCATTTTAAAAGAATTTCATGGTCTTTTGGGAATCTGTGGTCCCCCTTCAGAATAATTGCAGCCGGGGACACAACAATTTTGGAGCTTAGTTTGGTGAAATTAGCGAGTGTCGATTGTGGTTACTAATGTAAACATGTGCAACGTAATGCGATTCAAGCGTCAAATTGATTAAAACGTTTCCGACAACCACTTATGGAACACCAGCGACGTCTACAGGAAGAAATATTACGAATGATCCCTATTGATTGAAGCTGTTTCTTAACTAAGTACGAATAACTAAGAACTGCATGTAGTTGCATAAATAGCGTTTGATTCGAAATGATGACGTTTCTTACTATTGATAATTATGATACAAAAGCTCATCAATGATACCAGACTTATAATTTTGAACGCTAGACGCACGTTTCGGCTACAAAAGGCTCATCAGTGACGCTAGAATACGAAATGTTGATCATGTGAGCTAGCATAGCATATGTCCGTCAGGTGGGGACGTTAAATCCGAGGTCCCGTTTTCAGGGAGTACCACGCTCTTTGCACGTTAAAGATCCTTCTCAACAAGCTCTTTTTGAGTGGTCAATAAGTGATGATTGTTTGGCAAAATTATTTCATACTGGTTTTGGCTTTGTATATTTTTCTGTGGTTAATAATTTAACTATTTGGTAATTTGGTTTTCATGGTCTAACGTTTGTCTAAAATCTGTTAGTATTCATACTTTGATGAGTTGAGCCTTTTTTCAATTAATGTTTTATAGTGTGTCCTTTTATGTCGTATTGTTACACCACTGTCTCAGGTAAGGGTGAAGGTTTGCGCCAGATAAAACGTTCAAACCCGCTGCATTTGTTTGCACCTGTCCTATAGTCAGGAACCTGATGTTAAGTGGTTGTCGTTTGTTGATGTGGTTCATAAGTGTTTCTCGTTTCTCGTTTTTTTATATAGATTAGACCGTTGGTTTTCCTGTTTGAATGGTTTTACACTAGTCATTTTTGGGGCCCTTTGCTGTTCGGTGTGAGCCAATGCTCCGTGTTGAAGGCTGTACTTTGACCTATAATGGTGTACTTTTACAAATTGTGACTTGGATGGAGAGTTGTCTCATTGGCACTCATACCACATCTTCTTATATCTATTGTAAATCCGACCCTGTCTGTCGGTCTGGTTCAAATCAGAGTATATTGCTGTAACGTGTTTTCGCATGTATGTAATATTTTCCACTGGATGTTAAATTTCCGTTATTAAGTCATCAAATTAGGAAAATAAGGTAACATAAAAGAACAGGGGAGAATAATTTACGAATAAATTAATGAATAAATTAAAGATTAACTAAGGAATTCAGTTGATGAGGCATCTGTATAACATTCCGAGAGAGAGGTAAAAGCATTCTCTCTTCAAACTACAAAAAACGCACAATGCATACTTTCAATTGAGAGACTTTCTAATGTATGAGTTAAACTCATAATGTATAATGTAAATTACAGAGTATGGAGTTTACTTGACAGCAATGCCGAACCTCGATTTCGACACAACATCAATGTATAGTCTCGTTGTGGAATGTACAGACGGAGTCAGCACAACACAAGAAACCTTCACAGTAAACATTGATAAAAACAAGTATCCAACCATATCAAACCTATATAGTAAGTTAATATCGGAGGCAATATTAAATTTTAATGCATGACAGTTTAACTTAGTTCACTGTTAAGATATTAGGCGCAAATGACTTACGTAGAGATTTATAGATATACAGACCATTTACTATGATACAGAGTTAGAAATTGCTCAAATATTATAGAATTTGATTAATGTACAAAATGTACTGCATTAGACCTAACATCTTAAATCTACAGTTCAGTCTTCTTTCTATAAGAATTTTCAAAATATACAATACGAAGATTTTTGTAAAACCAATTCTGCATTGGTGATTTAAAAGTGAAAAACACGAAAAAAAGATTTTTGAGTTTATAACCATAGTTATGATGTCAATAATAGTACAATCGAAAAATAAATCAGAACACTTTTTATTTCAAAAAATATTCTTACAGACTACACCACTTTGTCCACTGCAAATACGCCGACTGGTACCGTGGTGTTCTCAGTGTTAGCCTTGGATCCAGAAAATGATCAACTAACATTTGGAATGGTCTGTTATGTGCTAAGCTCTTCAGCTACATGTCCATTTGAAATTTTTGACTGTAAGTTTTTTGTCGTAAATATGGAATCTTTTCTGCAAAGCGCAAATTACCTAATATAGCGTACCGGAAACGTGATTTCTTTGTAAATTCGACAGTTTTTTTTTCTAAGTTTTATATTATGCTGAAACGTTTTTTGCGTTTGTTTTTTTTTTTAGGGGTTGGAAAGGGGGGGGGGGGGGGGGTAAATAGAGTAAAAAAAACGCTTATCGTATTTTCCGGATGATTGTGTTTTTGTTTTATACAGAATGTGTATGCCATCTTATTATCAAATCATTAATATACGGAAAATGAAAATAACACTTTATCAATTGGGTACGTCCAAACGGATTTCATGCTTTTATCTTCTTCAGGAACATTTAAACACAAAAACGTTGAAAGCAAAGGATGCATAATTACATGAACACGTGAGGAGCTTCTTGACAACAATGACCATAAAAAGAATAGCCAAATTCATCTGTCAAATTCGCTTGAGCTGTTTATTAAAACTGTAATTTTCAGTACAAAATACCGTTTAAACATAAAATGCATAATCTGATTGTTTTCCATTCTTTTGATGTGTTTGAGCTTTTGATTTTGCCATTTGATAAGGGACTTTCCGATTTGAATTCTCTTGGAGTTCGGTATTTTTGTTATTTTACTTTTTAAATACTAAATAAAAGATAAATCCATCTACAAACAGCCAATGATCTTTAAAATATGCTTATTTATTGTTTTTTATTTTATATAATTTTGGTTGTAGCCGGAGAAGTTCTATCTACAAGCGATTTCCTAGATTATGATGTTGGGACTTACGACTTAAGAATATCAGTAACCGATAGTCACAATAATATGATAGGACCTTACTCGTTGACTGTAACTATCACTGGTTTGTATTCCTTCGATTTACATGTAACTATCATTATATATAATTGGTTATCAAAACTAAAAATTAGGTATAATCTTCAACGTGGCGAGAATTAAACATGATTTTTTTCTTACCGCTTTGAATCAGCAGATTTTCAATTTCATTGTAAAATATTCCTGTTTAAACAGTTAATTTTTACAGTTTTTCATTCTTTTCACCGTTAAATGATTACATTTAAAACGATGCAAAAAGCACTGAAGAAAATTTGAAAATTACACGCGGCGTTGAAAGCTACATACGGTTGTTTTCATATACTAGTACTGAATCAGATATATTGTTTATGTAGAAATATGCCATATAATTATGTTGTTTGTTTTAAGTACATGTTTGTCTTGGTATCTATATAGGTTTAAATACAATACCTGTAATCGACGACAACATTTTGTCATACATACCAGTTGTGTTGGAGAACAGTCCGTTAGGATCATCTGTATACCAAGTTACCATTACTGACCCGGATGTTGAAGACGTACACACATATTCAGCAACGTTTACACCATCTATTGCTTCCAACTATTTCTCCTTCGATTCCTCTAGTAAGCTTTTGATATTGTTGTTCAACTGTTATTACATTCCTTCCATTTTTGAAGCAGGTACTTTTTTAAGAACAGAGGAGATAACATAAGATTGAAGATCCAGGGCCTGTTCGATTGTTAAAGACAAACTTTTGACTCCAAATATAAAAAAAAAACAAATTGAACGGACTTAGAACTCCTAGTCACGGGCCCCCGGTTGTTTACTATTGAATACGGGTTCCTTATATAGGACTTGTCATCCCGAGTACATTACCCAGAGTTCAGTTGCATCATGGAGTCCGTGTTTCTTCTCCGTGTTATTCTCTTTTTATTTTTCTTTCTTATATACTGTTCTTTGGAGTTTCAATTAATGTATGTACCTCCCATTCATACGGGTTTTATAATAGGCACTCGTATTTTTGTCCTCATGTGTTTTGAAATTACTGAAAAGGAGGGAGTATACTGTTTTATCTCCCTCCGTCATCGATCCTTCTTCGTTTGTCCCATTAAATTTTTGTTGTATTTTTCTTAGAAAATCCAAATCAACGCTTTCAGTAATGTGGTATCGTTAAACGTTATGATGAGAAAAATATCAAACAATTCAATCAACTACGAGTAAAATATTCTCCGCCGCTTATATAACATACTTTGTACTCTTTCAATTTCGTAATACACAGAAATTACTAATTGTAAAACTTTAATATGAATAGAACTAAGAACAACGTTTTCGTCAATTTTAAATCAACTACAAAAGTTCGTTCGATTTTTAAAAATTATTCATCTTTTTATCGTCACGGCATTGTCGTAAAAACTATACTTGATTTAATAAGCCTGTAGATTGTGTTACAATTAAGTTAAATAAAAATTTTAAAAAATATCATTGGTTCACAGTTAAGAAAGCAAATATAGTCAAATTATCATAACGAACACTTGCAACGTATTTAACTTTCTTTTTCAAAGGCTGGTACCAGTTTTGGCACTCCTAAATATAACGTCACAGACCAAGATGGCGACTCTGTAACCTTTGGACTTGATTGTCCGACTCTGAATATTAACACATCTACAGGGGAAGTGACGCTATCCGTGAATTATGATAGAGATGTGGTATATGTTGCGTCATCTGTGACATGTGACCTCACGGTAACCGATGGTACAATGACATCGACAGCTACTCTTCAAGTAATCATATATGCAATAAATGACAACACACCACAGTTTTCCCAGAACAGCTACGAATTTCATGTATCACCTTATGGCACTGTTGGAACTATTGTAGGAACTGTTACTGCCAGTGATGCTGATATCGGTTCTCATGGTAAGTATTTTACCATACCGTCGTATCAAAATGAAAAAAAAAGTGAGGTGCGTCCGAAGCTCTTTTCTGTATTTACCTTCATTATGAGCTCTCAAACCCAAACGTTTGAAAGTCGATGATGTATAATGTATACATACATCCTTGAACACATGGAGCTATAGTACCAAAAGGGACTTAACAGAATAGGAAATTAATACCTATGGTCAACTTTGCCTGAGAGAGTGCTTTTTAATTTTATATCATTCGTTCATAACTAGATTCTCCCTGACATTTATATTAGTTTCCCTTGGTTGATTGCGCGTAATAAGAAAACTAAGAATTAGTGACCATAATTTAAATATAGCAAAAGGTAGACATTCTAATATTCATAGAGAGCAGATACTATGCCTTAAATGTAACATATTAGAGGATGAAAAACATGTTTTTATTAGATTGGGAATTAAATATGGAACTGATAAACAATTTTTTTGATAATTTGGAATTAAACTTTTCTGTTAAAGATTTGTCTGAATAAGAAAAGGTGATTTTATACTCAATCCATCAACACCATCACAAGTAAATAAATTGGGGTCCTACATCAAAAAGTCATTAGAACTGAGGACAGGGGACACTGGACTATTTACTGTTATTAAATGATTTTGTGTATATATATATATGTGAATTTCAGTTATATTGTCTACTTATTTTGTATTTGTGACAAACTTATTGTTTAAAAGTTTATATGGCAATACATATTTGAATTGGATTTATTAATTCATATTATTCTTCAACTGCCAGTGTTATCTATATGTGTATATAAAATTATATTAAAGTATCAGTTGTAATGATTTTTCAGTTTATAAATTATGTAACTTTTCCAATACAGTTGCAACTGCTGCATAAAAGCCTTTTCATAGTAATTACATGTTCCGCTGTTCCTTATCTCGCTTTGAAAGGTAATCATGATAGCTCACATAATTTTAACATTATCTAAGAACTATAGCTTCTGCTGAATAAATGTTATGACTTTCACTGGTTTCAAACTAAACTATAAGACCCATATGGCAAAATCAAAGGTACTTTATTCAAATGATTTGCACCACGTGACTTTGTCCCTTTTGATCAAATTACTTCCCTTAGTTTAAGATTGAAAATATAATTTATTTTAGATTGGCGGATAATCCAGTCCTTTTCCGTTATGTATCTAAAACTAATGTATCTTTAAAAACTGCACGAGGATAAAAGCTTATGTGAAGGGTTACTGCCAGTCATCAACGTCAAAACCGTAGCACTACGAATATTGTATACGCAAGTTAATGTAGTCCCAACCAAAAAGGTAGATCTAAATACCCAAAGGAAAACATTGTAATTGAGCATTTATTTGCAATTTTAGCGCAATATTTCTTGATTATCAAATTAAATAGAATAGCCTGTGATTTACAAGTAAGATTAATTCCAGCAAAAAAATTGAGATTAAAATCGACGATGTTATTACATGCAACGTGACTCAGTTGTTGCTAAACATCATAAATTCTGTCAGTCTCTATAATTTGCATTTTGTGTCCTTTAATTTTAACTGAAGGTTTCAGATATTCCGTTTTTATCTTTTGATTATCCTCTTTGTATTACGTTGACAATTACCGTTTATTGGAAATATTTAAAATACCATTAACAATCATATCAGGCAAAATGGAAGGTGACTGCAGGTCACATTTACATATCACCAACTTTTTAAATGTTGTAAGATCTGTTCACGTAGGGTATCATTGATTTACAATTATTCACATGAGAGTCAAAGAGGAATTTGAAGGCAAGACCGTGGGCCTGCTTTTCGAAAGTATCTTATGACTAAGACATGTCCTACGATTGTTTTAGGACATTTCATAGTCGTAAGATGTCTCAAGTTATAATATGTAATAACTTTTATCGTACACTTAAGACACCTCGTGACATGACTTATGATGGTCTTATGATGGTCATAAATGTTACGACATCCCATACTAGTATTTGTTTCTAAGGTATAAGTGTCATTTACTGCATCTTTATTTGCTCATGCAACACGCAGATCCAGGATTTTGAAAAAAAGGGGGGCCCAAACTAGGCAACGTTTGGAGTGGCATAATATGCTAAAAGTCCATTATACATAAACCATGTATGTAGCTCCATAGGGGGCGAGGCCCTGCCTCTCCTACTAAATCCATTTCTGCATGCAGCCTCCCTTGCTCTCTTTTCGGAACTGTTTGTTGTGTTGTTTAATCTGCTAAATAGTAAAGATTTTTTCTTTTCCATGCACTTCGTCATTTAAAATTTGAATCTCCTGCGACGTAAAATTTGGAATCCTTTTCGTAGTCATGATCATTTTTAATAAATATTTATTATATTTCTATTTTTATATAGTAGTTCATTAACGTATTTGCACGGGCATTTCTTTAAGCGGGTACTCGATGTACCATATCTTAAAGGTATTCCCAATTAGATAACACTTCATTATAATAAAACATGAACGCGAAGTTCTAACTAAATTTAAACAAATTATCAACTCAGATTATAACTCGTTTTCATATATACTTTCATGTTCATCGTGTTCATTATAATGAAAAATATGAAATATTCGCATAAGATCAGAATAGTAATAGTTTTTCATACTTATATATTTTCTCTTTTGACTGTCATAAGAGCATCATAGGTATGACTATCGTATGACAGCCATGATTTACGTTCTACGACATATCATATGATAGTCATAAGATGTCATAAAATTTGTCCTAAGATGTATCTTATGACATATATTAGGATACTTTCGAAAACCAGCCCATGGACTTTTGAAAATCAACAAAACTAAATGTCTACTTATTAGTTCGTGAAAACATAGGTATTTACTGTACAGCAACCGAATTTGGAACCCAGAAAATATCTACAGAGGCATATCTTGGAAGTTACTGAATCAACAGGTGAACTTCGTCATAGTTCAAATGTTGTTTTAGTGGAGTCTAGTTGCCATTCCCTTCCTTGAGTGTTGCAGTGTTTTCCCCTTTTTTGGTAATTCATGATGTCAAAGAGTGGTGTCGTGTTAAAAGACTTTTAAATTTAATTAAATGTTATTTCTGACCGTTTTACATAGACGATCTATCACAAACCCGCAGGAGTTTCACTTAAACGGCCTGTAGGTCACCCTGTTATTGATCTGTACCACAATTATCTGAGGTACCTGTATGTCACCCTGTTTCTGATCTGTACCTTATCATTTCAAACGTGCCGGTATGTAACCCTGCTATTGATATGTACCATATCAACCCTGCTATTGATATGTACCATACCATTTCAAAGGTACCTGTAGGTCACTCTGCTATTGATATGTACCATATCTTATCAAAGGTGCAAGCGGTCACATTGCTATTGGTCTCTCTCTATCATATCCTATCAAATGTGCGTGAAGGTCATCTAATATTAGTCTCTACCATATCCTACCATTATGATACATGTAGCTGCTGAAGATTATATTCCTCTTTATCTTTACCATATCCTATCATAATTATCAAAAGTGCCTGGAGGTCAACCTGCTATTGATCTGTACCATAATTATCTGAGGTGCCTGTAGGTAACCCTGTTATTGCTCTGTACCATAATTATCTTAGTTGCCTGTAGACCGCCCTGTTATTGATCTGTACAATAATTATCTGCGTTGCCTGTAGGTCACCTTGTTACTGATCTTTGCCATAGTTATCTGAGGTGCCTGTATCTGTACCATATCATTTCAAAGATGCCTTTAAGTCAACCTGCTATTGATCTGTACCATATCATTTCAAAGATGCCTGTAGGTCACCCTGCTATTGATCTGTACCATATTATTTTAAAGGTGCCTGTAGGTCATCCTGATGTTGATATGTACCATATCATATCAAAGGTGCAAGAGGTCACATTGCTATTGATCCGTATCATACCCTTTCAAAGTTGCTTGAATATCACCTCCCTTGTGGTTGATCCGTACCGTATCCCAATGGCTATCAAAGGCGCTTGTAGGTCATTTACTATTCGTCTCTACTGTATCCTTTACCAAGTCAGGAATATTTCAGATGTTATCAAATAGTCCGTTTGTTTTGTTCACGCATCGTTGTCAATATAATGGAATTTGATGCGACTGTCATACAAGTGAGAGGTTTAGCTAGCTATAAAACCAGGTTCAATCCACCATTTTCTACATAAGAAAATACCTGTACCAAGTCAGGAATATGACAGTTGTTATCCATTCGTTTGATGTGTTTTTTTTTTTTATTTTGCCATTTGATTGGGGACTTTCCTTTTTGAATTTTCCTCGGAGTTCAGTATTTTTGTGATTTTACTTTTTTCTATGTATGTTGGCGTTTGTTTTTGTTCCACTAGTGTTTCTATTGTTCCGTTGTTTTCCTCTTGTAGTTGATGTGTTTCCCTCGGATTTAGTTTGTAACCCGGATTTGTTTTCTCTCTATCGATTTATGACTTTTGAACAGCGCTATGCTACTGTTGTCTTTATCTATCATAGCTGCTGAAGATTATATTCCTGTTTATCTTCACCATATCCTATCATAATTATCTAAATTGCCCGTATGTCACCTCGTTATTGATTTGTACCATATTATATTCTAGGTGCCTGTATGTCGCACTGCTTTTGATCTTTACCAATCATTTGAACGGTGCCCGTACGTCACTCTGTTGTTAACCATGTAATATAATAGATGCACGTAGGGCACCTTGTTATTTTCCATATCACATTATAGGTGCCTGTAGGTCATCCTGCTATTTATCCGTACCATAAGTGCCTGCAGGTCACCATGGTATTTATCCATATCATATTATAGGTGCCTGTAGGTCACCCAGTTATTTTCCATATCATATTATAGGTGTCTGTAGGACACCCAGTTATAATCCATATTAGGTGTTATAGGTGCCCGTAGGTCACCATATTATTATTTTATCCTATCATAGGTGCCTGTAGGTCACCCTGTTAATTTACATATCCTTTCGTAGGTGCCTGTAGGTCACCTTGATATTTTCCATATCACATTATAGGTGCCTGTAGGTCACCATGTTATTTACAAAACCCTTTCATAGGTGCCTGTAGGTCATCCCGCTATTTACCCGTACCATAAGTGCCTGCAGGTCATAATGCTATAGTTAATTTCACTAACTAGGTGACTGCATTTGTCAATTCCATTATTATTATAATTATCAAAAGTGACTGTAGGTCACCCTGTTATTGATCTGTACCATATCATATCCTATGTGCCTGTATGTCACACTTCTTTTGATCTTTACCATATCATTTCAACGGTGCCCGTATGTCACCTCGTTATTTTCCATATCATAAATAGATGCCCGTAGGTCACCTTTTTATTTTCCATATCATAAAAAGGTGCCTGTAGGTCACTATGGTATTTATCCATATCATATTATAGGTGCCTGTAGGTCACCCTGTTATTTTACATATCCTATCATAGGTGCCTGTAGGTCACCATGGTATTTATCCATATCATATCATAGGGGCCTGTAAGTCACCTTGTTATTTTACATATCCTATCATAGGTGCCTGTAGGTCACCATGGTATTTATCCATATCATATCATAGGGGCCTGTAATTATAAGATTCAACCTTCATGCATCTATAATACAGATCTATATAGTGATTGGATTTGCAGGCTCCTATAATGCGGAATAGTATAGATAAATATCAGTGTGACCTGCAGGCACATATGATAGGCTATGGTATAGATAAAAAGCTGTGTGACCAACAGGCACCGATTATAGGCTATGTTACATATACATAGCAGTGTGACCTGCAGGCTCTTATGATTGGCTATGGTAAAGATCTATGAGGATACGACCTGCATGCACCTATGATACAGATCTATGGTGACGTGACCTGCAGGCTCATGTGATGGGCTATGGTACATATCAGATAATATCAGTGTGACCTGCAGGTAGCTATAAAAGGGTAATGTTACATATGAATAAGAGTGTGACATGGAGGCAATGATGGTAGAGATAAATTTTAGTGTGACCAGCAGGCACTTATGATAGGATATGGTACATAACAAGCGGTGTGAACTGCAGGCACCTATATAATAATAAACCTGCAGCACTATGGTAGGATATGGTACTTAAAATAGCGGTGTGACCTACAAGCACCTATGATTGGATATGGTACATACAAAAAGCTGTGTGACCTACAGGCACCTACGATGGAATATGGTAAATAAAAAAGCTGTGTGACCTACAGGAACCTATGATAGGCTATGGTATAAATAAATAGCAGTGTGAACGGCATGCTCCTACGAAAGGCTTAGGTACTGACAAATGGCGATGTAACCTGTAGGCACCTATGATGCAGATCTATAGTGAAGTGACCTACAGGCACCTATGATAGACCCATGATAGATTATGATACAGATCTATGGTGATGTGACCTGCAGGCACCTATGATACAGATCTATGGTACAGATCTATGGTAATGTGCCCTGCAGGCATTATATTATATGATAGACTATAGAACAGATAAATATCAGTGTGACTTGCAGGCACCTATGATAGTCTATGGAACACATAAAAAGTTGTATGACCTGCAGTCACCTATAGACTATGGTACAGATAAAATGCTCTGGGACCAGCAGGCACGTATGATAGGCTTTGGTGCAGATATATGGTGATGTGACCAGCAGGTACCTATAATAGGCCATGGTACAGATAAATAGCAGTGTGACCCATTATAGGCTATGGTGCAGAAAAAAGAAGTATGACCTACAGGCACATATGATAGGCTATAGTGCAGATCTGTAGTGAAGTGTCCGACAGGCAACTCTGATAGACTATGGTGCAGATCTATGGTGATGTTACCTGCATGCACCTATAATAGGCTAAGGTACAGATAGATAGCAGTGTGACCTGCAGGCACCTATTATAGTCTATGGTACAGATAAATAAGCAGTGTGACCCGCAGACTCCTATATGATAGGCTATAGTGCATATCTATGGTGATGTGACCAGCAGGCACCTATGATGGGCTATGGAACAGATAAAAAGGTGTGAGATCTGCAGGCACTATTGATAGGCTTTGATCTATGGTGATGTGACCTGCATGCATCTATGATAGGCTATGGTACAGATAAATATCAGTGTGACCTACAGGCTCTATGATAGGCTATGGTGCAGATCATAAGTGAAATGACATACAGGCATCTATGATAACTGCGAACACTCTCAGATCTGTACCTTTGTTTGGTTATTCGCATGTACAAGTACCCATCCACGTCAACTTTGTATTTTTGTTAGATGTATTTCTGTTTGTATCAATCTGGTGAGTTAAGCCTTTTTCAACTGATTTTTATAGTTTGTTCTTATGTTGTACTGTTACACCACTGTCCCAGGTTAGGGGAGGGTTGGCGCCTTCAAACTATTTCTGTTTGTGCCTGTCCCAAGTCAGGAACCGGTAATTCAGTGGTTGTAATTTGTTGCTGTGTTACACATTTGTTTTTCGTTCATTATTTTGTACATATATTATGCCGTTAATTTTCTCGTTTGAATTGTTTCACATTTGTCATTTCGGTGCCTTTTATAGCTTTCTATGCGGAATTGGCTTGGCTCATTGTTAAAGGCCGTAAGGGGACTTATAGTTTTTAATTTCTGTGTCATTTGGTCTATTGTGGAGAGTTGTCTCATTGGCAATCATACCACACCTTCCTTTTATATATATGGTGCAAATCTATAGTGATGTGCCCTGCAGACACCAACCATACAGATATATAAATGAAAGTGTGACCTGCAGGCACCTTTAATAGCATATGGTGCAGATCTATGGAGATGTGATCTGCAGGCACATATTATAGGCTATGGTACAGATAATTAGCAGTGTGACCTGCAGACTTCAAATGATAGGCTATGTTACAGATCTTAAGTGATGTGATCTGCAGGCACCTACATGTATGGTTCAGATAAATTTTGGTGTGACCTGCAGGCACATATAGTTTTGTTTATGATTATACGCGTAGGTGTATGCAGCACTACTTTTTTATAAGTGGTGACTGGCAGTAACCGTTCACACAAGCTTTTATCCTCGTGCTTAAAAACTTCCTTTGGCGGATATTTACTAAAATGCTGTGTAATTCTAAGGGAAAATGCTTAAGATTTGACGTTTTACGACATGGGAAGGTTGAAATCATCATGTTTTAAAAGAATTTGGCCGAAAACTTAAGAAAGCAGGTAAGTTAAAAGTTATTCAACTTTAAAGTTCAACCTACAAGGTGTTTTACTATAGATCTATGCGAACAAATCATGAACAATATCTTCTTGCATATGTATTTCTGTTTTGAATCTTGCTATTTTACGATTTTCCTTCATTTTATATGATCTTATATAGCAATTATACTATGGTTTCGCTTCCGATTTTTAAACTAATAAGGCCGAAAGATTTCAGAGTAGACATGCAATGTCCATTTGTACACGGACAGAAGCCTAAACACATGTACAATTCACCTATATGCGATCAAATTGTTCATTCAACATAGGTATTGGCATATTGGCATTTTTATTGAAGGGGCTTATATAATCCTATTGTAATGGCTGCCGTCATGATAATGCAAAATGGCCGCTATGCAAATTAGCAAATAACCCCAAATTTTGCCATATGTTGTTACTAGTATCTGAACATAAAAGTAAGCATGTATGGTTGCCAATGAGGCAACTATCCACCAGAGTCCAAACGACGTAGGTGTAAAGCAACTAAATATCACCGCCGTATGGCTTCAAGAATGAGAAAATTCCAAACCGTATAGCCAAAATTTACATTGCTTAATACCAATGATCATGTTCAGAAAATTGAACAAGTTGATAAAATTAAACGAAAAGTCATATTAGCTGATGAAGTTGTCCATCACATATAAATTTTATTAAGATCATGACATCTATAATATGTAAAAACCATGTACATTCTACAAACTTTCATTTATAGGCATTGTCTCATATCTCGTTGAAAGTGGTACATATTCAAACTACTTCGGTGTTGATACTTCCGGTAACTTGTATCTGAGAGCTGCATTCAAAACTGTTTCTGGATCGACTGTTTCTGTTTCTGTAAGAGCGTATGACGAAGATAACAAGATGGACACAGTAACAGTAGATTTTATCATACAGGCGACTACAACCATGACAACAACCACAACAACTGACAGATATTTAACATTCTTTGGTTCACCAGCTAATGTAGCTTGGTTTTCAGCTCTGATGGTTATTTTGTCTGAACTAATTGTTTTCCTGTTCCTCGAAGTTATTCGGTCCACTTCGATATTAAAGCTGTGCTCAACCTGCAACGACTGTGAAATACCAGAGCGAAGGTAAAATTTTACTATTTTCCCTTTTATTTTTGAAAAGATCAAAATCGAACAAAATTCTGTAAATACTACGTCATAATAACAGCTCTTTTAATGATAGTTCAGGAAAGTTCACGTTTAAAATTCATGTATCTTTAAAAAAATATAAATACTGTAAACACTAACGATCACATCCTATCATAAAAAATTTAGTTCGCTTAAGCTTGTTTTACGATTAATGACAACGGTCAGCAAATTTAAAATTTAAATTGTTTTAACATTCATATAAATGAAGGAGATGTGCATTTATCAAGTTTTTTTTTTTTTTTTAGAAATTATGATAACGAATACGACTTTGAAGATGATGAAGGTATGTTACATTATAGCATTTATTTGAATTTACGGAGTTTAAAAAAATCAATTTGAATGAAGCAATCCTGATGGTTATTCCCTAAGCACGTGATGTGCCAACGTAAATCATATTTTTTTTTATATATGAAAAAATAGAATTAAGAAAGTATGTACAAATAAAATATTCCTTATATGTTTTTTTAAATTTTTTTTATATTCATTGTAACATACTACCGTTAGTGAAATGGATTTGCATTATTATGTGTATTTGTCTTTCTTGAACTCCATACTGAATATTTATGAAAACTATTAGTTTTTGTGCAAAGAACAGAATTTGCCACGAGCGGGGTTCGAACTAAAAATCTCAGGGTTGACGGGCTTTTGATGACTATGTATGAAATACTTAGACCAATTCGTCACCAAAGCCCCTTAATTAAGTTTTAAGGGATGAATAGTATACCACTTTATATTCATTCAAACAAACACAAACTAATACAAAATATTGATATTAGAATTAATTGAATTATTTAACTAGACTATGACTATGCTCCACGTCATAGAGGTCAAGGGCGTAAACCAATACACAAAGCAGCAGTTCACCAATGGTCCGCATGGAAGAACAAGCACGAGATGAACGTTGATAGGACCGCAGTGGTCAACTCAACTGTTGAATGGTCAGCTTGGAACCAAAAATCGGATACCTAAAGGTAAGATTACACTAAGGATCTTATCTGGAGTTTTTCCTTTGCGTTGTGGCAAGTCCTCTTAAAAAAAAATAGTCATCAGGGGGAAATACTCTCATAAATAATAACACACCCATAAACTAAACATGTTATAGAGTTTTATGCTTTTTTACATCAAAATAATTTATGTTCAATAATTTATTCAAGCAAACTTTACGTAAGCATTCAAGTTTCAAGTTTTTATTTCTCAAGACCCTTAACAAGGGTATTTAAACAAATACAATTGAACATAAATAAACACAATATAACACAATAGGTTGATTCAATAAACAAGTAAACATGATAGGCATTTACAAATATATGGAAGATGGACATATTATATAAACATAAACATCATATTTGAATAAATGTATAAATATACCGTAACTTCAATCATTTTACTAAAGAAAGTATGAGTTTACAAAATTTTGCAGCTTTGAAAATAACATTATAATTGTCTGAGTTAAATAAAGCATGAAATTTATCAACATTTGGATTTGTAGTGAATTCTTTTGGCAATAACATTTTTTGAAATAAGAACATTTGAATAAATAATGAAATTCGTCACCTAATGAGTTTCAGTCACAAATATCACAAATTATAGAATGTTTTATAATCCACTTCATGCAGAACTTCTATAACGAAAGATGAAACATCCCCTTGAGATCTAATTTCGTGAATATCATCAGGTGTTTGAAATTCTTAATTTTGCAAACAATTGAATTCAAGATAAAAAAAAAAAAGTTAGTATATTTTACTCTCTTAGAAAATTTGAAAAAATTTTAACGCCTAGAAATATGAATAGGATATGACTGGCGCATGATTCGAAGTAAAAATTAAAGGTTATAAAAAAAAAAGACGGTAAAATCGCCGGAATTAGACATTAGACTTTTTAAACAAATCGCTAGAGTACAAAAGGAACAAGTGCAATCAACATGAAAGGTGTGGAATGGTCGAACATTTGTGATTTTCTTCCTAATTTTACCATGTGAAAAACTAATGTTTGAATGGTGTATTATGGTTAATTCCCGTTCATGTCTACATGTTGACGTAGATTGTCTGATGGAATACATGTACTTTTAGTAAATCCCAACACTCCAAATCTTTACTGAATTAGAATATTGTGTTATTTAAAAAAAAATGAATACCCATGGTCGTAAGTAAGTAAGTAAGTAAGTAAGTTAGTAAATAAGTAATTTTTATCGAAATAAGTCCAGACATTGGACTATCATCAAATACAACAATTACAAAATGAACATCTACATGTGTTTAGAAAGTGGAACGAAATTATAAAAACAACAATACATTGATGAACAGAACAATTATCATCACTGATACCACGGCTGAGTTAATTAGAGTTAAGTCCCATGTTATATATATCTTAGTTATTACAAAGAACTCACAGGTTATCTTATGATCTGTTGATTAGTACGTGTTCATTCAACTACTTACTAATAGCGGCATACATGAGAACATAGCAGAATGACGCAATATCATAACATAACCCGTATGTACATGTAAACCATCTTAGTATGCTCAGTTGCCAAATGGTGACTTTTACATGAAATGGTCTCATCTTTCTGTTCAGATTATCTTCCTTTTCATTGCTATGATTATGCTTACCAAAATGCTACATGTAAGATACACAGGAACTACTGCTATGGAACAAATTTATAAATCACTCGCTGAATGTTAATTGTTCACACTCATTCTTGTTGACTCAAACAATAAATTTGACTTCAAGAAATTGAAAAAGACAAAAAGTGACATTTTATTTACATAATAAAGGAAATATTGAACCTTCAATTACGATATTTTGAGCATTAAAAAAATTCAACATACAGGAAAATGTTGCCTGTATATATTTTTAATTTATCCCGAGTAGAGGGTTCTCGACAAGAGACTTAAATTATTCTTTATTTACGAGTAGGATTTGCTTGAATTGTAAGGTATTTCCTTTTACAGGAAAACAAATCACATATTACATTATATCTATATATGTATGTGAAACGGGAATTAGTACCTCAAGAAATTATCATTTTGATATGTGATAGAGGCTATATTAACCATTAAATGAGACCAAATTTCCATCTGTTGAAATTCGTTGGGCCTTATTGATGGTAGATTGATTTAGTTTTATGTTGATTTTTCAGAATGTTTGGACAAAGAGGAACAACCGAAGATAAATTAACTTTGTCTGCAGTATTGGAAAGTTTTCTTTTTTGATTATTTGCCTATTTATTTCCATTGTGTATTTTCAAAAACGACATCACTACACACATACATACATAATAGTTTCTCTTTTAAGTAAAAATAATTTTGTACTCAGTGTTGTTTTTAAATTCAGAAAATAATTTAAAATAAACATCTTTTTACATCTGTTAAATTCCACACATCATTTTTCCGACCTTTGGTGCTGACCTCATGATGCTTAAAGTTTCCTTGCAAGTTGGCAGGTCTTAAATTGATCAATTTGGTAAGCACAAATAAGGTTTATCAAACTTATTATTTCGTCAGATGCTTGTTGGTGTTCTTCATGAGTCTACTTCGGTTAAATTAGATGTGAAAGACCTAGATTATTGGACATAGTCATTAATAGGACTCGGAGGTGCGATTGGGGACGCTGAAGTGCGATGGTCACGCTGAAGTACGATGGTCTACGCCGAAGTGCGATGGTCCGTTCGCTGATGTGCGATGGTCTATCTGACGCATGATGGCTAGTTTAAAATCTACAGATTATTTTGAGTAGTACATGTAGATTTATTTAATAGTTAGAATATAAATCTACATTCATCATTGTCTATGTCTGTACTTCATTACAGTTGCATACTAAATGATAGAGTTCGTCCTCTTTGATTTTCTACATGTGGACATTATAATTCTATATTAACATTTTATCTTTACTTTGTTCCTTTCATGAGATCCTCGTTTACCATAATATTTCAATACGGAGAGTCTGTCTGCGGACCCGTATTTTATTAAGAGAATTCACGCTCCATCGTACGCAAAAAGGAACAAGTTGTAGATTTCGAAAAAAAAATCGCTACAGTAGGTTAACTTTCCCCTATCCACCAATCCTCCCCGTTTCTTGTAGTATTTAAAGTTAAGAAGCCCCTTATCAACTTAAAAACCTAGAAACTGCTTCTTACATACACATTGACATCTACATCATCATGCGTCATGAAAAGCATTGAAAATGTAGTTTGTTTAGACCATCGCACTTCGGTGTAGCTATCAACAAGATAGCGTCACAATGCCACCATCGCACTTCAACGTGATCAAAAATGCACTTCAGCGTCAAACCATCGCACCTCAGCGTGACCATCGCGGTTCGGAGTACCATCGCGGTTCAGAGTCCTACATTATATAACTCTGAAAATTATTGATAAATACAAATGTATGTGACAACTGTGTTCATAGTTTCTGATCCAGAAGAAATATACACACAGTTTAACTAACATATGAATACCTTATATAGATTTCATGACGATGACTTTATGAAAAAAAAGGTCGCCTTTTGTATTTTTTTAAAAAGTACCTTAGTGCACAGTATCATGGAGGAAGTTAAACCATTTTGACAGACATGATACTTTTTTCTGATTTTTTTCCACCTTTTGATAATACAACGCATATTTATACAGGCAGTTGGTTTGTATTGAATTACTTTCAATTCACCCCGATAATATCAGATCTTTTACGATCGATTCCACTATCAAGTCATAATTTAAATTTTCTATTGACTTTATTTTAGAAGATCAACTATATCATATCAATTTCTATATATATAAATAAATATTTATATCAGATTTAAAATAACAATATGATTTACTAATTGATACCCGTTCTAATGGTTATTTACAATAGTTCAATTATAATATGATACGCATGGCCTACAAATCTTTTTGTGAATTACGATTTTGTGGTTGGATCAATGTTCCGTGTGCTTTTAATATTGACAATCTAAACAAATAATTCAACATTAAAATTATATGGTCACCAGCCATTGAACACAATGTGTGTTATAATTGAATTTGTATGCCATCTGTATTGTTATTATATCAATAATTTAAACTACCCTTTTCAAGGTTATATATTAAGAACAACAATTGTTTTCAAATGAATTCTATCAAATTACCTTACCGAAAATAGCAAATGTATTCTACATTTCATAAAATGAATTATTATTGATATTACAACACATAGTTTTCATACTTTGTAATAAAAGGTAAGTCTGGTTAATTAATTTAATCTATAGGGAATTATATTTATTTCTATAGTAATCGAATTATATATTAGGGGAAAAGTTCATTTATTGTCTATACTACACTTTATGAAAATAAACAGATGCTATATGATTGCCAATTAATGAGACAACTATCCAAAAGACGACTAAACGACAAGATGTAAACAACAGCAGTACGGCCTTAATAAACAATACATAGTCTTAGATTCATGTTTTTTTTCAATTAGTTGTAATTGGCTTTGAACTAGCTGTAAGTGATTGCGAGTACTCTCAGATCTGTACTTTGTGTCTGTTTTGTTGTTAGGGATGTATAAATACCCTGCCTCGTCCGGTCTGTGTTTTTGTTAAATGTTTTTGTGCTTTGTATCGATCTGATGAGTTAAGCCCTTTTCAACTGATTTTTATAATTTGTTTTTATGTTGTGCTGTAACATCACTGTCCCAATTAAGGGGAGGGTTGAGTGCTCACAACCATGTTTACCCCCGTCACATTCTATATGTGCCTGTCCCAAGTCAGGAGCCTGTAGTTAAGTTGGTTTGTCATATTTGTTTTTCGTAAATTTTTTTGTTATAGATTAGGCATTTTGTTTTCTCAATTGAATTGTTTCATATTTTTCATGTCGGGCCTTTTATAGTCGACTATACGGTATTGGTTTTTTCTCATTGTTGAAGGCCGTACGGTTGCCTGTATTTGCCAACATCCACCTCATTTGAACTTTGGTGGATAGTTGTCTCATTGGCAATCATACTACATCTCCTTATTTTTATATAAGCACATACCATATAGTAAGCTATAAAATGTCCCAGAAAACAAAACATAAAACAATACAGAGAGAAAGAGGGCCTGATTTGAGCTAATAACATTTATGACTTGAAAACAGGTCACTTGCAAGGACCAGACACATATAAATTGTGGTAGGGTTTAAACTTCTTATGAGTGCTTACCCCTTATATATACACACCAGCTGATAAAAACGTCGTTTTTCTATCCTTCAACTATAATGATGTACATGTACTCGCCATGTCTTAAATGTTTGTGAACTACTCACAAGACATTAAATATACCGTGAGTAGTTCATGAAACAGCAAGAATATCAAATGCCATTTTCATAAGAAGGACCAAGAATAAATTAAACACAACACTTTGGCAATAAATTACCCAGTGGTAGGCGGGTTCTTTCCCTTGCAACATACGGGTATCTGAGTCACACCGATAAAGGACAGGGAACAAGTCTATGCCTAGCGCCACCTTTTGTCTTCTCCACATTGTGGAAGAAAGTAGAAATCCAGTAAGCTGGTTCTCTCCCTTGCAACATACGGATATCTTAGAGCCAAATAGATAAGGGCAGGGACCCAGACTAGAAATTCAGTTCAACTGGAATGAAAGTCACAATCTTGCATTCATTCTAACATTACATGCTTGGTGGTTGGCGACATGTATATGTGTAAAAGCCGGGTTCTTCAGGCTTTTATTAATAAATAACTAATAATTAATAGATAATATTTAAACCTTACCAAAGATGTAGTATTTGATTATCTAATGGTTTATATGGAAATGTGCCACTTGCACGATATGTGAGGTAAGCTACGTGTATTTGTAATCTTGTTTCGCTTAGCTTCAGTTTTTAATATTTGCGATGCTATATTGTTACTTTTTTGTGCTTATTTGCTTTTTTATTTAATCAAGCACGCAGCTTACGTTTTTGTGTAGTTTATGTTATCAACACAAGTATTGTTTAAATGATATATGATAGACATTATTATGAGACAGCATACGAGAACATGTACTATAATTTAAAGTCTAATTGGTATAACTGTAATTGAGACAAGTATATGCAATGGTATCCACAGTATATATTTTTGTGACTAGATACATATATGTATGCAGCTAAATAAGTTTGCATGATAATAAATTGCGAACATTGGTTTTAATTATTATTACTTAGTAAATACAGAATTATCTATAAGTACATTTATATTTTACAGGGCTGTTTTTTTTTTACATATCCATTTTGTTTACTTCGTATCGTCTTAATAAAAGTTACAGAACCCTAGCTTGCAGTTATTTATTAATAAAAACCTGAAGGTATTTGCTTTATTTCCATCGAGGACATGATAAGAATTTATTTCAACAGTCTAAACACTATAATTGCAGTTTCAAAAATGAATACATCGTGGATCAGGCAAGGAAGCTTGCCAAATGTCGTTTTTTAATTATTTTTATTACATTTTTAGCCTGAATTACTTGTCAATGGCGTATGTTTATTGTTTAAACATGTACGTATACATATTTTGCAGATCTTCACAATTCATCAAGATATAAATAAACCCCTTACACATCATGGAAGAACTACAGGTATGTCCGGTTCATGAAAATGAATCTGTGACGTCATTTTGTTATCAGCATGCTGCAGTTCTATGCAAAAAATGTCTGACAGAGAAGCACAAAAATTGTCGGCCTGTGACGCAGATTGAAAATGCTTTTGAAAGTCTGAATAACGGAATTCCTTTAGAAAATATTGAAAATAGTATTCGTAAAATGTCCTTGACAATAGATCAATTACTTTCTGGCAAAGCTACTAATTTATCAGATTTGAAGGAGAAACGAAACAATATCCGACAAACAGTCAGAGAAGCGCGCCAAAGAATAAATACGTATTTGGATAAACTAGTCAGGATTTTGGACGTGGAAATAAATATGAAGCATGATAAATTGGTACATAAGATTGAACAGTCAAAGACTGACATAGAAAGTCAAAAAGATACTTTAAAATCTCTATTAAACGATATCAATTCTATAAAAGAACAATCTAATGACACAAGTTTACATAGTGAAATACAAACGTTACAATCTAAGGAAAAGGAACTGGAATCAAAAATAAAAACTTTGGAAAACGAGGACAAAAAATCTGAACTACACGTGAAGCTCTCTGAAGCTGTATTTGGATTTGAAAATTTCTTGCAGACGATGGGATGTGTTGTTATATCAGAAGTAGACACAACGTTACTGCGGAACGGTTTGGATGTACTACAGCATAATGCACTGAATGGTTACAACAATCAACTGGCAGGGAACCAAAACGATAAAGATACCAGATCAAATGTTGTAACCAGTAAACTAACATTAGTCAGCTGTTTCCCGACTTCCAAACTAGGGAGAGGAGTAAGAATATTCAGGGCATGTTTTCTACCAGACAATAATCTTATGTTAGCAGGATATCAAGAAAAAACGTTATACATATGCAACAAGAAAGGCGACGAATGCAAGAAGGTGCGCATTGCAAATTTCCCAGGAGGAGTAACACTATATAGTAGAACATGCGCCTTAGTAAGTGCATGGCAGCATGGTGTACAGAAAATTAATTTAGACACTCTAAAAGCTGGTGACGTCATAAAACTGCGAGGTGATAGTTCTGCAATCTCCAGTATTCGAAATGAAATTTGTGTCAAAAACGGAGAGGACCATTTAAAAATCGTTGACATACACGGAAGAACAATTCGGAAATTTCCAACAAAGTTTAATCCGTGGGAAATTTACTTAAACGACACGGGAACAGTTTTCTATTCGAATCTCGACAATAATGATGTCTATTGTGCGTTTCCGGATGGAAGTAACTATATTACGTATAGTAGTCCCGACCTTTTCGACCCAGCAGGACTAACTGTGGACAATCAGGAAAATCTGTACATAACAGGATCACGTTCGGATAATATACATAGAATATCTAGCAATCGAGAAGCAAAGGAAATTATTCTAACTGCCGAAGACGGAATTCGAACGCCATCTGGTATTTCATTTAATAAGCAGACTAATGAATTATTAATTATTAACGAAGATTTTTCATCTATTAGAATATACAAGGTTCATATAGTAGACACGTAAGATAAAGAGGATGCTTTTTCAGTTGACATTTGAATGTAAAAAATTAAAATGTATTCAAAATTCTTGACTCTTAGTATAATAATACATTGTATTTTGATGCATAGTGTATATATTAAATTGTTTTCATCTATGATGTCCGAGTCTTACATTCTGTAATTCTACAATAGCAGACTTGTTCCTGTATTGTTATGAATCAGTTTATGGTCTAACTCTGTAAATACCCGTCTAAATTGCATTGAATTGATAAAAACAACAACTCTTATCGTTATCTTGATGATTTTTTTTTTCGTTAAATAATCAAGAATTTTCTTAATATACTGCCGAAATTTACCAAAAGGAACTTTAAGTTACTTTGAACAAATCAAATATAAACGGTAATAACTGCCCTTTCCTAGATTGAGATATTTTAATTTTACACGGGGAACTTTACACTAACATTTTATGACAAAAGGGACGAATTTTCTTACCCTATTGTTAATTTTTCTTGGTGATGTTCCTTTGGCACCATCTTACGGTGTTTATATACCACAACTCGTTCGCTATGCCTGTGTCTGTAGTGACATTTTAGATTTCAATGAACGTAATCTATGTATTACTGTTAAATTATTAAGTCAGGGATTTCGTTACCACAAATTATTTGAAACCTTTACTAAATTCTTCCATAGATACAAAGATTTGGTTTGAAAGTTTGGATGTACCTGTAGAAAACTTTTTTCAAACGGGAAAGCACATTCTAATTTTGACGGAGATGTTGTTTACCGAGCCTGGAAATTTAGATATGATCCGTGTTAACTTATCGATTCTTACAATAAATTTAGATCTGTTGATATTGTTTTATTGGTATAGATATTAATTTTATTATCAGTAAACTAAAACCAAACTTATATTATTGTTATATACATATGCACATTCACAGTTCTATAATCTGTCGATACCTGTTTTTTGACATTGCATAAGGTCATGTTTTTCAGTAAATGCAAGTACTCTCAGATCTGTACTTGTGTCTTTTTTGTTTTGGGGATGTATAAATACCTTGCCACATCCGGTCTGTGTTTTTGTTACTTGTTTTTTCTGCTCTGTATTGACCTAATGTTTCAGCACTTTGCACTGATTTTTATAGTTTGTTTATATATTGTGCTGTTACACCACTGTACCAGGTTAGGGGAGGGTTGGGCGCACAAAAAAGATGTTTAACCCCGCCACATTCTTTATGTGACTGACCCAAGACATAAGCCTGTAATTCAGTGGTTGTCGTTTGTTACTGTTTATCATATTTATTTTTCGTTCATTGTTTTGTACATAAATCAGGTCGTTAGTTTTCTCGTTTGAATTGTTTTACATTTGTCATTTCGTGGCCTTTTATAGATGACTACGCGGTGTGGGTTTTGTTCATTGTTGAAGGTCGTACGATGACCTATAGCTGTTAACTCTATGTCATTTGGTCTCTGGTGGAGAGTTGTCTCATTGGCAATCATGCCATATCTTCCTATTTTTATAAGTCAATAGTTTTGTATGGTATTTAATAGAAAAACAAAGGATATGGGGTATCCATCCATGACACAAAATCAGTAACTGCACAGCAAAAAAACACACAAAAAGCAAAGGAACAGCGCTTTTATTTCTTTTCTCTATCTCAAAGTTGCAGTGAGGACTTCAACACTCAATCAATATGTTTTAGGAATTAAGGTATCAAATGAAAGGTGAAGTACTGGTGATTCTTATAAAATAATACAAAAATATATGAACAAATAAAGTATGTTAACAAGAAGCACTGACAAAAGAAATTTAAAAAACAGTTAAAACGACTTACTGATAAACAGGAGACGCACAGTATCAATGAAAAGTTGAAAGGTATATAGATGATCCAAAACAATAATTAAAGATTTATGGTACAATTTTTATTAAATAAACAGGACTGGTTAGTACACTTACTTTGTATAACCTTTTTCCTTGATTTTAATATTTTCTGCCTATAACATTTGAATTATCAGCATAAAATATACCAAATATACTGTATTTTCTTTAATCTCGTCTGTTTTGTTACTAGAATCGTCTTGGGCGATATACTCTACATGCAGTACGTGAGGTCGATGCCCGGTATGGTCAAACATAAGCCTTGAAAATTTGTACTGGTACAGCTGCTAGCTTCTCCTCCGCTAACCATGTGGCATTTGGGAGTAAGAGCAAAGACTAGTTTGATAACCATGTTATATTTGCCACTGGACGTTAAACACCAATTAATCTACCATTCGTTTCATCTTAAAGTCAATTAGTTTATAAACATTCATACATATAAAAAAGAAGATGTGGTATGATTGCCAATGAGACAACTCTCCACAAGAGACCAAATGACACAGAAATTAACAACTATAGGTCACCGTACTACCTTCAACAATGAGCAAAGCCCATAACGCATAGTCAGCTATAAAAGGCATCGAAATGACAAATGTAAAACAATTCAAACCAGAAAACTAACGGCCTAATTTATGTACAAAATAATGAACGAAAAACAAATATGTTACACAGCAACAAACGAAAACCACTGAAGTACAGGCTCCTGAATTGGGACAGGCACATAAAGAATGTGGTTAGGTTAAACTCATTTGAAGGCGCCAACCCTCCACCTAACCTGGGACAGTGGTGTAACAGTACAACATAAGAAAAAAACTATAAAAATCAGTTGACAAAGGCTTAACTCATCAGATGGAAACAAATAGAAATACACAGTTCTAATCTAATCTAACTTGGGTTATTGACGACTACCCTGTAGGGTATTGCGCCAAAAACACAGAGTGGACGTGGACGGGTACTTATACATCCCCACAACAAAAAGACACTAAGTACAGATCTGAGAGTACTCGCAGTTACTGACGAAGGCAATAACAACTAATAAAAAAAATCATGCATCTAAGACTAAAATATCAATCAGTACACATCCAACATCCAATGAATTTAGTGTAAAGACGTATGCATCACAATACGCCAAAATTTTATGATGCGAAAAACCGGCAGTGACGTTTCTTGTATTTCCGTATTAGCCTCTGGCTTTGAAGGCGGCTGTATTACTATCAGTAGGATACAACACCATCAGAATTCCACATGTCGATTTGCATTGATTTATTAACTCAAGGGGCAACAAGATATAGGCTTACCATTCAATATTTTATCGGAAGTTTTAGGAAACTATAATTGTCCGTTGCGTTGTTCGTGTATTTCGTTTGTATCCTCTACTTATTTGTATAACACCATATTTAAAAATATCTCTGAAGGTTATTTATATGGATTAAGAGATCATTGACAAGATAACCATACTGCACTTTTAAAAAATTTCTTTTATGGTAAGATTGGAGCATTTCAATTGTTCATTTTTTAATGACATGCTACATATTTGTGGCCAATTGGTCTCAATAGTTCATGTATTGTATAAATAGCCTGTCATTACTGAATTATAAGTTCAAACCCCGCACGTGGCAGGTGCGTTCGACTCCAATCTAAATTGACTAGGATTCTCCGTTTTCCTACCGAAGGTCAGTCAGGTTTCTCCGGGCACTTCAGCTTCCTCCACAATAAAAACTGACCGCCATGATAGAGCCAATAGTACTGAAAGTGGCGTTAAACATCAGCACTAAATCAATAAATCAATTACCGAGAGGGACAAGTAGTTCAAATATACCGTTGAAATATATTTACCACAATATGTCGATCTCTTCTCCGAGAAAGAACTTTCGGCGTTTTTTTTTTTTTTTGTAACTGCAGTATTATATTCTTAATTCTTATTTCAAGGGTCTGTTTCACCTTGAACAATCCAAATTAGTATTTTCTTCCATAAGAATTGTCTTGACATTAGTTTGCTAATGTTTTTCACCTTACGATGAACTTTTTCCCGAATATAAACGTATTTTCCAATCTATTACAGATTATTACCGTTCTGAGAACTCTCTACTAAATAATAATATATTTTTCACATCAGGAAATCAAGCATCGCTGTCATTTCATATATATTAAACTAATGTATATACCGATATTATATCAATCGCTTGCCCTAATTGAGGTAATTTAACGTAGTATTTTGCAAGCTTTTTATATCATCTATCGATCAGAATGAACTAGCTTAGAGACTATGATGCGTACATAGGTATAATATATTGGAAAAACAATACTAAGTATTCTTAAGAAGTGAGAGAAAAGTTAAATTATTGGAGGACTTTAGGTTAACCAAGTTTTCAACTTCATCCGTTTATAAAAATAATGAAAGATATCGGTATTTTAAGTACAAGAGAATATATATACTAAAAAATCTAGTAAATATATTCACTTGTACTTAAAAATTGACTGTATGTGTTAAACACTCATATATTACAGTACTCCTGTGCAAGGAATGCATTGACTACATTTTTGGATGTCTGATTTTTCGCTGTAAATCTGCCGACAATTAGCGCAGTACCCAATTAAATGCTGTTTTAAGAAAATGTATATGATATGTGAATTGTAGTATAGCTCTACAATTGGAAGCAACTATTCAGTTCATTAATAGAAATAAGAAGATGTGGTATGAGTGCCAATGAGACAACTCTCCATCCAAGTCACAATGTGTAAAAAGTAAACAATTATTGGTCAAAGTACGGCCTCAACACGGAGCCTTGGCTCACACCGAACAGCACGCTATAAAAAGCCCCAACATGACTAGTGTTAAACAATTAAAACAGGAAAACCAACAGTCTAATCTATATAAAAAACGAGAAACGAGAAACACTTAAGAACCACATCAACAAACGACATCTACTGAAACAGGTTCCTGACTTGGGGCAGGTGCAAACAAATGCATAGATGTTTGAATTGCTTGTGTTGAAGCCGATCGCAGTATACAAGTCTTAGTACTTAGTTTAGATGGTTTTTAAAAACTATGTAACAATGAATAACGGTTGAAATACAAAACCCGTACAAAGATTCAAAACTTTTAAAAAGCTTTTTTAAAGATCTTTTCGGGACCTCTGGTTTTGTCTTGAACAATTTCACAAAAATTGGAAGGACACTTTCTATAATTGTTTGACGTACTAATTTTCAAAATAGAGAAAAAAACACAGCATTGTAAAATACCGGTAGGCGAAGCGTGGACACATAATATGTAGTAAA